ATCCTGATATTTTCCCTTCTCATCCGTCCCTCTTGGTCGGTCAATTTAGTGTCAAACTGCTTCTGTAGTTCCAATAGCTGCAGTGTGGCTTCCTCTATGTTCTGAATCCGCTCCTCCGACTCCATGATCCGCGTTTCGGCTTCATCTATTCTGTTGTTTGCTAATTTGATATCCTCCTTAATTTCTTTAAGGCTTTCTGAATTTTCGCGGCGAAAGTCCCTTAACTCTTTCAAAATCACCTCCAAATTGGCCATGCTCCGGACAGTCTGTTGAACCTCTTCCTCACTTTGTCTGTTCAGGCCGGTCTCTCCCGCCAGCTCAAACGGCTCTGACTCAGCTGGCTCCACTGGTTTAGCTAGCTCTGGCGTTAGCTTAGCTCGTGCAGTATCTTCTTCGATGTTAAACTTCACGTTTCTAGCCAGACTTCTTTGTCTTTCCCTAGGCATGCTCATCGCCTCTTTCTTGGACTAATAAGACATACTGAACTTTGAAACTATGATTTATACAGGGCTTTTATATCACATTGTCGGGGAGCTCCCCCTCTATGCTGCCACCATGTTGAAGGTGCACCGGAAGTGGTGGTCACCAACCTTTTTAAGCCCAAGATCCCAGACCTCAGCTTTGGTGAAAGGCAAGATATACCTATTGAGGAAAAAAAGACAGCCCAGATTGTACTTCCAACTTGAGGCCTTTTATTTAAACTAATTGTATTTGAATTACATGAAATGCGTTGGTCCAACTTTCAAACTGTTGCTACCAAGAAAACAGTAACACAAAATAAATGCATATGGCTCATTTTCCACTTGTATGAGGAAATTATTGTTTTCATAAAAGACAACAAAGAAAAAAAATCTCCACACTTGCAGTGAGCAGATCATATTTAAGTGCCATTGTAAACCATTTTGCTTTCTAATTACATGACATGCTTTATTTGAGAATTTTAGCACCTAAGGAAACACTAACAAAAAATAAAGGCTTGAGGCTTATTTTCCATTTGTATGAGGAAATTATTTTGTTCATTGAAAAAATCAACACACTTGCAGTGAACAGATCATATAAGTGCCATTGTTGTAAACGTTTTGCTTATCAATTGAAGCTTCATGCAAGTTAATACATTTAGCCTACCATGTGCATTTTAGAAAGTAGAACTCTAACATGTGCTAACAAAATGCTTAGTCAGTGCAATTAAGATAGTGCGGTTATGTGTCCCCTCCCATCCTCTGCATCACTTTTCACATCATCAGAAGGCAAAACTGTTGCAGTCATGCTACTCACTCAACTCAGTGGGATGGCTGTGACTGAATACTGTCTGTGATTGCCTTGTAGTTTGGCTCATAGCTACAGACAGCCAGTCTGAGACAGTCAGTGAGGTGTCTGTCAGTTAGGCAGCTCGTGTACTTTGTTTTGATTATTTTCATTTGTGAAAACGCCATTTCACAGAGGTAAGTGGATCTAAAGTAGGTACTCACTCAACGCACATGCGGTGAGAAGAGGAAACTTCTCGATGCTGACAAGTTCCCAAAAGTCAGTGTCCCCTGATCTGGCTTTCAGCTCTATGTCATTATGCAAATCAACTATCTCCATGTCAACTCCACTTTGCAAAGAAAATACTTGCTGGAATTTGGCTGATAACTGTTCTATATCAATGGGCAGGAATGGGTTTGAGACGAATGCAGCAATATCTTCCATGACGTCTAACTCACCAAAACGCCTATTGAACTCTGTTGCCACTTTGTCCAGGTGAGCACAGTACTGCTCAGGGTAAAAAGCATCCTTGTCTTCGATGGCCTGTGACATTTTTTTCAGGTTGGAAAAGTGTGTCAGCGTCCCGTTCTTTAGATGTGTGGTCCAAACACCAAGCTTGGCCTTGAACGCATTCACTGCGCTTATCATGTGGGGCAAGTGTTGGTCTTTACCCTGGAGCTCGTTGTTTAATGCGTTCAGTTTTGCCGTTAGGTCTGTCAGAAACCCCAGGTCCAGTAGCCACGCATCATCGAACAGTTGCTCGTGCTCCTCGTTCCTTGTCGACAGAAAAGTCTTAATCTCTGGCAGCAAATCAACAAAACGCTGCAGCACTTTGCTGCGACTCAACCACCAGACATCAGCGTGGAGAATTAGGTCTCCATATGCAGCATCGAGCTCATCCAATAACGCCTTGAATAAGCGGTGCTGAAGCGCTTTTGCTCAAATCGAATTTATCAGTTTGACCACCAGTGCCACTACCTGAGAAAAGTCCAGGACCTTCCCAGCTAAGGCCTGCTGATGAATAACACAGTGGTAATTCACAAAGTCAGGAAAATCGGGGTCATTATTACACAGTGCTACGAAACCAGCGCGCACACCGCGCATTGCCGGGGCCCCGTCAGTAGTAATAGCAACCAGTTTATGAATGGGGATGTCGTTTTCACTGACATATTTTTTAAACTCATTGTAAATATCCTCACCCCTCGTTCTCTCTTTTAAATGCAAAAGAGTGAGAAAGTCCTCCTTTGTTGTAGAATCCTGGAATGCCATTCTGACAAATACAACAAGCTGAGCCGTGTCCATTACATCCTGGGATTCATTGAACTGTAGAGAAAAATATTCACAGAGAGACAAGTCTTTTAACACTTGTCGATCCACGTCCTCTGACAGTGACTCGACCCTCCTTGTCACTGTTGCAGGGCCAAGTGGTAAACCACGGAGTGCGTTTTTGATGTCAGCTTTGTTTTTGAATATATATATATATATATACTCCTTTCAAACTGTGTACACCTGTGTAACATTACCCATGATATCCCAAACATGAACAATGAACAACAAAACAGAAAAACACAAACCAAAGACTTCCAAGTCCGAAGTTCAAATACAACCTCAAGTTGAGAGGAGATCCTCGTGTCTGTCAAAAACTCAAAAGCCCAAGCGTTATCATCTTAAGTAGGCCTATATAATTCCAATTTAGGTAGAAACAGAAACACTATAGTATTTAACTCTTAAGTATAAGGTTCAACTTAAAAAAATCTGGGTATTTATAGTAGTAACTCTCCTGGTAGACTGACTAGAGCGCAGTAATAAGTCATCCACTTTACATGTGAGTTAATAACACTTTTCTTTTGAAGCCCAGTGTTAAAGATGAGGGTCCAAGCTGGGGGGTTAGTCCCAGATGACACGATGATATCTCAATTAACAGTCACTGGGTTTACCTTCTATAGAGGTACATGGCTCCAGTCGATAGCCACTCACCCCGCGATAGTGTGGAGATGTTTACCCTCGGGCGCTTCACTCGCCAGTAACAGATGCTCCCAGTGGAGCACGCTGAAAGCTCCGTAGTCTCTCTCTTATCCGCCTGTGGTCCACTACCTGTCTGCGGCGATTTGCACCTGCCTTCTCCCACGTTGCCAATCTCCGCTGCTTCAACGCTGCAGAGTCTGGCTCCTTAACGTTTTCCATAGGGAATCCTCTCTTCTTCAGGTCTTTAGCCGCCTCTGCTGCACTCTCGTAGACCTGGGTGCCGCTGTCAAAAACACACCTTCAGCTTAGCTGGATGTGGCGTTTGGAAGCGGATTCCTTTGGCTTTGAGCTCACTCAGTATCCCCACATATGCCTTTCTTTTCTTCAAAATCTCGGGAGGGTTATCTTGACCAAAATAAATCCTTTTCCCCTCGTAGCAAACATCTTTCTTTCTCCACGTAGTATGCAATACCTGTTCTTTCACTCTGAACTCGAGGAAGCAAATCATCAGTGATCTAGGCGGTGCGTCTTGGGGAGGCTTTGGGGCAAGTGCCCGGTGGCAGCGCTGTATTCCGAGGTCCATGTCCGCGAACGGCAGTCCGACTGCTGATTTTATTAGCTTCATTACGAACTCTGATAGATTGGACCCCTCTGATCCCTCCGGTACTCCGTATATACGGTGATTGTTCTGGCGTGAGCGTGCTTCTAGCTCGGTTAGCTTAGCCTGCAGGACCTCTTGGTTCTCTAGAGCCTGGGTGAGAGCTTCCTTCGCTACGTGTCCCATTCTTCAATGTCAGCTATACGCTGTTTGACATCCGTCACTCTTGCTATGGTAGCCTGTAGCTCACCTGTAGTTTCCGGTTGATTTCTCCTCTAAACTCATTCAACTCCTTCATGTCGTTACGAAAGGAAAGTCGGAATTCACTCATTTCACTTTTAAGATCCGACCTGAGAGCACGAATCTTGTTATAGATTGCCTGCATGACGGGGCTAGCTACTTCTTTGTCAGCATCGCCATTGTTCTCATAGTTTTCCTCCTCGCTGTATGTTTCTTCGACTGTCTCCCCTTGACCACGTCTTGAGCCTTGTTTACATTTAGTCTTTTTTTGTTTATCCCCTTCCATGCTTAGTTTCAGTACAGTTTTTTATATCTTAATGTTCTTCAAAGGGGATAAATATCCGACCGGTTGGGAGCAGGGTTTTTAGGCTGCCATTCGTTTCAGCGCCACCGGAAGTCCCCCTCACACACGTTTTTAAAAAATAACTATTTTTTATTCTTACAGATGACTGATTCAGATAAAAAACTCAACAGGAAACAACAGCTAACTTCGTGTCAGCCGTCAGAAACAAAGAGGACAGAACGGAGAGACGTCGTTTACAAGGAGGACACAGAGAGGAGCAGGCAGAGAGAAATATAATCTGATAAAATGTTGCCTGATCAATAACCACAAATGTCAGCACAGAAATGTCAAACATATGATTGTGCTCAATTAGAGAAGAAAATCCTCCTTAAAGTCCGTGTCAGACTACAAGAGTTTAAAATCAGGTACATGAAGAGAATCTGAACAGATCTTCTTCTCTATCATCTCAGCATGCTCACACTAAGTTGTGACAATAATGACTCATCACAGACTGCAGGGTTTTATTGAGGATATCGTGCACAACGGAAGGATGCACCACCTCACGTAAACAACAGAGTCAGAGGTTAGATTTGAAAATAAAGACATGAAAAAGGAGTTTGGGTGAAGAAAACTCTCTGAGGAGACACGGACAGCATGAAGAAAGTTTACCTGATGAGCTCTGAAGCTCTCTGCAGATGTGTAGCTCCGCCCACACTCGTCACACCTGAACGGTTTCTGGTCCATGTGGCTGAACTGATGTTTCTTTAAGTGTCCGATCTGAAAGAACTTCTTCCCACAGCTGTAGCATTTGTACCTCCTCTCTCTCTCCGCGACGGTACAGGTGAGCCCTGCCCCCCGCTCACTCTCTGCAGGCGCATCGTCAGTGTCCCGTTCAGACGCCTTCATGGACCCCACCCTCCTGTCTGTGGTGGACACACTCTGCCCCTCTGTCTGTGTGGGGGGATCAGGGTGCTGTTTCCCACGGTTAGAGCGGCAGTGAATGCGTCGTGGTTTAGCAGCCAGGCGGGAGCTGCAGCGGACGGGAGGAGGTGAAGGGAGGACGCAGGAGTGGAGGTCATTGTTATCATTATTATTACAGCCTGTGTCAGCTGTTCGGACTCTGTGAACGCTCCTCCTCCTGTGGGAGCTTAGCTTCCTCCTCCTTATGCATCTAGGTGACTCTCTGTGCTCCTCCTCCTCCTCCTGTCTGACCTCCTCCTCCTGTCTGTCCTCCTCCTCCTGTCTGTCCTCCTCCTCCTGTCTGACGTCCACCTCCTGTCTGTCCTCCTGTCTGACCTCCTCCTCCTGTCTGTCCTCCTCCTCCTCCTGTCTTACCTCCTCCTCCTCCTGTCTGACCTCCTCCTCCTGTCTGTCCTCCTCCTCCTCCTCCTGTCTGACCTCCTCCTCCTCCTGTCTGCCCTCCTCCTCCTCCTCCTCCTCCTGTCTGACCTCCTCCTCCTGTCTGACCTCTTCCTCCTGTCTGACCTCCTCCTCCTGTTTGTCCTCCTGAATGATTGACATGTTGGCGGTGTCTGGCTCTGGCTCTCTTCTGTGCTGCAGCCTGTGAACTGTTCAAAGATGAATAACACTAAATCAATGATGAAGAAAATCAGATGTTTTCTTGTCAGTCTCCAAGATGTAATTTCATTAACATATCTGGATTGACGACATGACAGCTCCCCAATATTAGTAGCTCTTCCTATAGATATAATGCAGTCATTAGCTCCGCCTCCTACATGTTAACAAATTCAAACTATAAAAGTTAAACTACACATGACTTAAACGTTTCTCAAACATGGTTTGTGTCATTAGAAGTTTAGTTTTAATTCGTTATTCAAGTGTAACACACCATGATTGCACAAAATCTGCCTCCAAACGTCCTGGGAGGATTTTGTGATCATTTTTGCTCAGCGAGAGGAGGTGGAGATGTGCCGTCCATCTTTATATACAGGCATTGGTTTAGCTGCTGTTTGACTCTAAGGGCGCACTTACACTCTGCAAAGTTTTCCCGTACCATGCTTAAGCACGATTGCCACCCCTTGTTGAGGAAATTACGAAGAACTTGACTTCACACACGCAACGATTCAGGAGACTCATATGACTTAAGTTGAAGAAAGTTTATAGACAAGAATACTCCGGAGGAGAGATGGAGTAGCAGAACACGTCTGAAGCTGTGTCCCTGCTATGCCAATTCTCCCAAACTCTTCCACAGGCTTTGCATATACAGAAAAGACATTATTGATGTCAGGGTCATACTGACCTAAACAAATCTGTGATTTCAATTTGGAACTTGGAATATATGTGTGAGTGTGCGTGTGTTTACAGTATTTTTACCTGTGTGTGCAGCGTCTTGTCCGCCATGTTGATCTGTCGTCATTATTTTCCTCAGTGTATCATCGTACTGCAGAAGCTCTGACCCCGGCTGGATGTCCCGACACACACGCAGACACAAGTCCACACACTCACACACACACACCTCTCCACAGACACACCGCACGGTCACATTCTGCAGGGCTCTGCTCCGCACCTGGCAGGCAAACCTGATGAGGAAAAAACAGGTGAATGAATGAGACACTCATCATCGTCATGAGTACAGTAACAGTATTTTAAACTATGTGTGCGTGTGTGTATTTCTGTCAGAGACACAAATTAAACTTTAACACCAAGAGGACTTCAGAAAAAAAAAATCACATGCGGGGAAATGTTCAGGCAGCACCGGCTGCTGAGGTCGCGGGGCTGGACGATGCTGAAGCCGGAGCTCGGCCGTATATTTGGATTCTTTGGGTCTCTGTCTTTCTCATTTGATAACTTTCTAAAGGTCTTTCTCATATTTTTTCAACCATGATCAAACCATTTATTACTTAATTGTTTTGGTTTTTGATTAGATGTTTTCAGTATTGATATAAATGCGAATTTACCAAAATGTACTTGATCAAAAGCAGAATTTTTTCCATCTTTGTTATGGGGAAATGATTTAGAGAAAAATAAATCAATTAGATATTTAATTTGGGGATGTTCAAACGCTTTTTGGTATCTCTTTGTTGTTGGACCTCAGCCATGTGTGCTGTACAAAGGACTCAGGCCTGTATTGCAGTTCTCAAGCCTGACTAGAGTTGTTTTGGAGGGAACTATACAAAGGCGTCTTAGTCCCAGCACCCCCCAACAGCAACTAACAAATAGGTGTGTAAAGTGGGGGTCTGAATTCTCTATCCCCATTGAGGGAGGCCCGAGGTAAACCCACAGGCAGCCCCAGTCCTGCAAAGCAATCGCCTCACACATATGATGGACTCCAGCAGTCTAGGAGACAAACCCTTTCCTCCTCTTGGCTTGCATAGGTTAAACTCCAGAGTTGAGGTTGCTCAGTCTAGGTAGCTCTTCACATGCTGAATTCAAGCATCAGAGGATTCAGCTGACTACTTCCACGGCATATTTTTAAGAGTTTTGGGCGCAATCAAATGCTATCAGGTTTGAGCAAAAAGAAGAGTTTCTTTCCTTTGATTTTTTGTAAGACGTCATTGAACGCAACTAGACAGGAGCGCTGAAGAAAAGCCCACTGAACCCTGAATCCACAAGGACACATAAAGAACTCGGCTCCTGCAACCAGAAGACCACAGAGCAGCGCTCTGGTCGAAGATCTGAATCCTGCTACCCTCCTCCTACATCTGCCATGAAGGAAACTTGCCTGAATCTGTTGATTTAATATTCAACAGAGTGGAGATCCAACCAACTTTGCAATGATCACCAGGAGTTACCCCAAGTAAGAGCTTTGGTCTGGGCAGAAATAGTTTCAGAAATAGTTATGTTTCTTTTATAACCACTGATAATTATGCATTATTGTTGATGAGACGTCACATTCTGTTTATTATCTGTTGTAAGCCGCTGCATTTGTTTTATTGTGATGAATGGCCGTGTTTGCCTCTGTGTGTTTTCATTCAATGCTATGCTAGTTTTCAGGCTTTCACAAACAGAAAGACCAGTGTACCCGTCGTTGAATCAAAGTCTGGCCACTGGCTTTCTGGTGTTTAAGTAACAGTTACTGAACTCAGCTCAGAGAGCTCAACTATTTCAAAAGGCAGCCACACGGCTTCCTTTGTTGTCCACCATTTTGTCCCATTGTCTCTCTCCACCATCTTGTTTTCTCTCTCTCTCAGCCACGCACGCAAGCACGCACAAAACAAACACACACATACATAACTACACTTGTACACCTCATTCACAAGTTTTGCTTGATAATGTTTGATTGCTTAGATTCGCTTGTAATAGTTCTTTGTTTGATTAAGTTCATTGATTTTGGATTGATGTTACTTTGTTTAAATAAATTCTGTTATAATTCAAGAGAGCAGTTGTTTGTGGTTACTGGTGTATTTGCATTGCGATATATGCTGGGTGCGAGGGCTTTGTGTACGGATTCCACGCCTTCAATTCATTAAATACATGTTATTAATTATTAATAATATTAGTAATTAATTAACTAATTTTAGACTGATTTTAGTGATATTTGGTTATTTGTTCTCTGCTCTTAAAGTGGTGCCCCCGAGTTGATTCAATGTAGTTTATTAATATTGTTATTTATATTAACAATTAATTAAATATAATTATTAATAATATAACCAAATTTGACTAGATAAAACCCCAACACTGTGCTGTAAGATTTCCATTTGTATACACTTTTAGGATTTAAGAGTTGGCTGGGCTCAGAGTTACTGAGAGCCTTCTTTAAATAGACACTGATCTTACTGTGGTCTGACAGCGGGCTAAGCGGGCTGACTGTGAAAGCTTTGAGAGACATCGGGTCGAGGTCTGTGATGGCATAGTCAACCGTGCTGCTACCGAGAGCTGAGCTGAATGTGAACCGACCCAGGGAGTCTCCTCGTAAACGGCCATTGACGATGTACAGACCCAGTGTGCCACAGAGCTCCAAAAGCTGGCTACCACTTGTGTTAATGGTTTTATCGAAGTTGTGTCTGTGGAGTAACTCAGAGAAAGAAAAGCTTGTTACATCAGGTAGACCCAGGTGTTTGCCTCCCTATATACCAATGGTGTCTGCTTTCTCTCCTGTCCGAGTACTTAAAGGGATACTTCACCCGTTGAAACATGAATCTGTATTGACATTGGGTCATATATGTAGTAGAAATGTGAAATACATTTTGAAGTTGGTGCCTTTTTGGCCGAGAAAAGGCAGAAAGTGTCTTTTTGGCTCATGTGGATGAAAGACAGCAAATCCCAGAATGCACAGCACCGCAGGCCACTCCCACTAAGGTCCTCGATTTCAGAATCAGAATCAGTAATACTTTATTAATCCCAGAGGGAAATTTGATCGATACAGTTTTTCCAAAATATACAGCATAGCAGTAGAAAAATAGTAATAAAAACATTTACTGACATATTTACTTCAACACATAAGGCCATTTCCTCAACTGATTCAGAGATTTCTTCCAGAATTGATCTTGGAAATTCCTGGCAGAAAACAGACTCTATGTCTGTGTCCACAGGCAAACAGTGAGAGTACCGACACTACCAGTCCGCCCCAGCTCGAGCCGGCCCGGGCTGCTCGTCCTCACCGCCGCCGACAGGCAGGCCTTATGTCTCGGCTGCCGAGATGGTTGCTGCCGACAGGCCGGTCTTGTGTCGCGGCAGCCCCGGCGGCCAGTGCTAGCTGCCCCGGTGGCCACGACAGCAGCAGTAGTGGGGGGGTCAGGTTATCCTGAGCCACAGTAGCAGTAGGACTTGGGGGGGGGGGAGGGTCAGGTTATCCTGAGCCACAGTAGCAGCAGTAGTGGGGGGGTCAGGTTATCCTGAGCCACAGTAGCAGCAGTAGTGGGGGGGTCAGGTTATCCTGAGCCACAGTAGCAGCTCTGGAAAGTTCTGGAGAGTTTTGGTCTCAGCCCTGGTTTCAATGCTATGATCAAGGTTTTGTACCAGGACATTGAGAGTGTAAAAATGAAAATCAATGGAGGACTAAGTGCACCTTTTAAAATTAAGAGAAGAAGACAAGGTTGTGCTCTTTCAGGGATGTTATATTCCATCTCTATTGAACCCATGTTGTGTAAAATACGGTCTTCCATTGAAGGGTTAATTTTACCTCACTGTTCTAAACATTTTATTGTGTCAGCCTATGCAGATGATGTTATTGTCATGATAAAAAATCAAAAATAAGTGTTTTTAATAGAAAACATTGTGAAGGAATTTGGTCTAGTATCATCTGTAAACGTGAATTGGGGGAAGAGTGAAGGGTTAGCAGTTGGTTTTAAATCACATGCGCTGCCCAACCTACCAGCAGGACTAACATGGGGAAGAAATGGTTTTAGGTATCTTGGTGTGTTTTTAGGGGATGAGCTCACTGTACAGAAAAACTGGGAGGAGGTGGTGGAGCAAGTGAAGGGGAGGCTGGAGAAGTGGAGGTGGCTGCTGCCACAAATGTCGTACAGAGGAAGAGTGCTCATCATTAACAACTTGGGGTACGTTCGAATTGTCCCTCCTATCTCCTTTCACTATCCACTTTACCTTAACCCCGGAAGCATTTAAGTGGTGGCCATGATAAGAGCCGTTCGAATTCTCTAAAAGTTAAGGAAAGGTGGGTCAATGCTTCTTTTATAACCTCCTTTAGCATAGGATACACAGGACCATCCTTTACAAAAGGAGATGAGATATGCCGCCCCACAATTCCTTGCGGCCACAACATTTAAAGTGACTCGCGCATTCGACCGTTCACGAACATTTATGATGACAGAAAAGGGACGGAAATCATGCAAGTTACCATTGCAATAATATACCTTGAACAACTTTCAACAATCTTTAACACGTAGGCGAACTATGAACGATATGCTGATTTTGTAAAACGATCAAAGTGAGTTTAACTTTTATTGCAGCCAATGCTCAGTTTGCATTCGTTATTTATCCACTTTGAGTGTTTTGGCAGCCGTAAGCAATATCATAAATAACGTTAAACTTTCCTTCAGTCACAGATGCTGAAACCCTTGCCTTGATTCAGGTTCTTGAGATATTATGCAAAGCCATATAATCAGATTATAATCACCATAAAAAAACATCACCCTGTCTTTCAGGTAAAAAGGGATCAGAGACATTTTGAGCCAGATGATGTTTTATTCAACATATTTCATTCAATTCAGAATGTTTTTTTTCAAGATTTATTTTGGGCTTTTTGTGCCTTTAATGCAGAGAGAGGACAGTGGATAGAGTCGGAAACCAGGGAGAGAGAGCGGGGAATGACATGCGGAAAGGGGCCACGGGTGGAAGCGAACCCGGGCCTACCGCTCAAGACGAGAGTCTCAATACATGGGATGCGCGCCCTAACCATTGCGCCACCAGCGCGCCCCACAATTCAGAATGTTTAGTGCATTTCTTCAGTTGTACATTCTTGTCTTGCATAAATGTAACAATTAATTTCATACTTATTTTAAAGTTGATTTCTGAGTGGACAGAAAGGTGATGGTTTCACTTTTGTTACTTGTAGCCTGGTAGTCTATATTGCTTTTATTTCAATCCCAACCTTGTGGTGATTAGGATTATTTCACCAGTAAGAAGGCACAGGGGAACGTTTTTTAGATGCGTTTTTTGTAGTCCATTTTCGGAACGTTGTAGTTTAACACGGCGGACCCACGTCATTAACCTCCGCCGGCCCGTAGCATTTAATTACGTCACCTAGTGGAAATGTGGTCAGATTGTCAGAGCAACAAGATCGCCTTTCCCTAAGTCCTTTATGAATTCTCCTAACAACTTTCCTTAACCTCATGACGTTTTCCCCAGGGTTAAGGTAAAGTGGATAGTGAAAGGAGATAGGAGGGACAATTCGAACGCACCCTTGGTCTCCTGTGGACTCGGGCACAAGATGGCATCTATCGAGCCCCTGCTGGACTCCTTAAACAACTGCAATCAGTGATGTTGGACTTTTTCTGGGACAAGCTGCATTGGGTTCCACAGACTGTGCTGTTTTTACCTAAAGAGATTTAGGGTCTGGTCCACCTGGCCAGCAGAGTAGCCGCCTTCAGAATCCAGTTCCTACAGAAGTTCCTCACTGGCCAAGCTGATGTGGTCTGGAGACCAGTGGCCAGCAGCATTTTTTAAAAAAGTGAACAGATTAGGACTGGACTCCTCACTGTTTTTAATGAATACTGACTGTTTTAATCTGTGCTACCTGTCTGCTTTTTATCAGAGCCTTTTTAAAACCTGGAAACTGTTTTTATGGAAAAGACTAGAGCCCACACTGTGCACACTGGCTGCTGGAGGAGCCTCTGATCTATGGGGATCACATCTTTAATGGGCCTCAAGCAAGCTCTTATCTCCACTGACAACAAAACACTGAGACAGATCGTGGACGTAGCTGGACCTGAACTGAACAATACAGCAGCAGTGACCACTGCTCTTGGTCTCCGGTCTGCAAGTTTTGTGGACAGAGTGCTCAGACTGTTGCGTCTCAGACTGACGGGGGAAGAGAAGGAGATGCTGCAGGATTACTGTAGCAGGAAGGAAGTACCTATTGACAGTGGTCTATTTCCTGAAATAGGCCTCACAATGAATTCTTGTGTTTGACGTGAAAGACATTCAAAAGGGACTGATGACAAATGTTTGAACTTTTATAACGTTAGAGGTAAGGAACTGTTTTGTGTGTGTGTTAAAGTTTTAAATGAGAATGTACTGAAAAACAGAGTGGACACCAAGTGGAGACAATGGTTGAAAGTGGCTGACCACATCAAGCCAGTGTGGAGGGTTTTTTATAAAAGCCCTCTGAACAAGAGATCTGGTGATCTGTAATGGAGGATTTTAAATGGAGCAATAGCCATAAACTCTTTTGTCTCTCGTTTTAATCCTTCTGTGTCTAAACAAACATTTTGAAAAAAAAATTCACTGCCTTTCAGAGTGTGTCAGACTCAGCGATCTGTTTGGGGTTTTAAAGAAGGTTTTTATGGGTTTTAATGAGACATGGTCAAAAACAGTTTTTATCGGGGCGCTGGTGGCGCCCATATATGGAGGCTGTAGTCTCAAGCGGGCAGCCCGGGTTCGGGTCCGGCCTGTGGCTCCTTTCCTGCATGTCGTTCCCCACTCTCTCTCCCTGGTTTCCGACTCTATCCACTGTCCTATCTCTCAATTAAAGGCACAATAAATCTTAAAAAAAACAAAAACACAGTTTTTATCTTTGGAGCAGGGTACAACAAAACCATCGCGGTTAAATGGAAACTTTTAAACTTTTTATCAGGACAAGCAAAACTGGCAATCTATCTCAGCAGGAAGAAAGAGTTGGAGAACAGGCAAGGAAAGGAAGTGACTGACCTCTTCCTTTCCCTTGTGAGAGCCAGAGTCTGGGTGGACTTTCATTTCTTTAAAGCGATGACTAATTTTAAAGATTTCATTGAAACATGGTGCTATGGAGGGATAATCTGCTCTGTAGAAGACAAGAAACTCATCTTAAACCCTTTTTTAGCATCTAAAAAGTCAATTGTGTGATATTAACTGTTCAGTTTCTTTATGCTGTATAAAAGTATGTTGTTAATTGTTGTTAATTATTGTAAATAAAGTTGTTTTGTAAATCTCAAAATCTCTCTCTCTCTCCCTCCCTCTCTCGCTTGCTCTCGCTTGCACTCTCTCTCTCTAATGCTTGCTCTCTCTCACTTGCTCTCGCTCTCTCTCTCTCAATCCATGTTGCCAAAGCAGCACAGTAAAGTATGATTCTGGCCTAGTGTGAACTTCTCTTTCTGGTCATTTACATTTGTGTGTAATGTCTTTAACCATAATATTACTTCAAATGTGTGTTTTTTTTAAAGAAGTTAGTATTTATTCTGCAGAAAGTCAGAGTGATCTGATGCGAGAACGCAGCAGGATATAATCAGGAGAATTCACCTGGAGCCAGTGGGAGGGGGTGGTGTCCTTTATTCCCTGTGATCGCTGCACCACCATAGACTGTCTGCACGCCACCTCTACCATCTCTGTGCTCTAATGAACCTGCTGCTGCATGTTTCCTGTTCTCCAGTATGTTCTTCTCCACTCTTTAGTTCACATTGAGATTCTCTTCAACTACACACAGCATTGATACAAAGACAAATATTCTTATTATCGAGTTTTTATGTCACGTCTTACCTCAGGAGACCCCTCCGCCCCCCTTCCTGTCTGACAGGGATAGTCTCCCACTGTGAGGAGCATGTGTAAACATCCAGGTCGGGAGAATCTCCGGAGCAGTCCTCCCGTAATTATCTAGATAGTATCCAGAGTGCATGTGATTACTTCCTGCTGTTACCTGCGTGAGACTCACCTGATCCAGACGCTGCTTTGTTTGAATGTTTCCTTATCTGCTGATGTCATCACCAGAGCCTGAAAAACAACAACAACAAAAAGGTTAATAATCACAAACGTTGTCTGTTTGTTTCTGTATGGTCTCCTCTGTGTAGAGACTCCTGCTGGTCTCCTCAAACACGGGCCGTGCCGACTGGTAGAGGTGGGCGATATGGGAAAAATATCATATCACGATTTCTGCAAAATCACGAACACAATTTTAATCACAATTTTTTTATACTGTTCTTTAGACAAATTTGCAAGTTACTGACCAGTTCAACCAAACTTACTTCCCTGTATAATGTTTTTAAATGCACAGTCTATTTGAAAAACATATTTGAAGGAGGTCAGGAGGTCTCTCACCCAGAACATCTTTAGCAACAGAAATGTCTTTCCCTCAATTTGATCAATATTCCTCTGTGTCCTCTTTTTATGTTCATCAGGAACATTTTCATGCAGCGATGCATTCATTTAAAAACGTGTAGACTTCGAGTTCTTGTGTTTCTGATCTATTTTAGCTCTGCAGCTGTAGCTTCATACAGGCTCTGCAGCCTGTGTTCATAGGCTTTGTTGTTTTTTACGACATCATTGGACTAACTTAAGTTTTTTTAGTTTTCAAACATAATACAGAATGTGTTCATTCTGTGACACATGATCAAAGTAAGTTTTACTGACAGAAGAGTTTAATTCATAGAGGGGGCGGGACATCGTTGATTGACAGACAGACAGTCACCATAGTTACTCACTCTCACCTGCCTGCTGCACACAATGAGCGTCGAGTGGAGAAGCTTCATAGTAACTTTTAAAAACTGAGAGAGAGCAGAAAACACCGACAGCAACATTTTAAACACCGGGGTTATATCTCTCATCACTGTCTGTCTGAGCTCCGCTCTGTTTGACTCTCTGGAGACTGTGAACGTCTCTCCGGCACGTTAAACGGTTTCTTGAAAACTTAACTGTGCAAACTATGCAGATAAGTTAACTGTTGCTCACGCCGTGTCGGTTTGAAAAAAATTCAGAACAGTTACATATAACCAGGATGGAGTTGTTTTTACGGACTAACTCTTAAGTTAAGTTACGTTTCGGGGGGGGGTGTCAAAGTTCTGTTGGGTCGGGGGCCCAATAGAACTAATTTTGCAGACATCACTATAACTCAATAAATGGATATATAGGCTAATGTATGATTAAAAAAAGGTATTTGTATAGAAAACTGCATGTTAACGCATAAAATGTAAAAGTACATTAAGCAGAGGGGTTAAATCTGTCATGGAAATATTTAAATATATAACATTACAGAAGACAACATCAATAATTATATTTTGTTTCAGATTATTATATTATGTTTTACTATTGCTGTTCAAGGTTATAGAAACTTTGACACATGTTATTCTACCTGCCCTGGGATCAGTGCATTACTAGAGAGAGAGAGAGAGAGAGAGAGAGAGAGAGAGAGAGAGAGAGAGAGAGAGAGAGAGAGAGAGAGAGAGAGAGAGAGAGAGAGAGAGAGAGAGAGAGAGAGACTTTAGATCTGTGTGTGTCAGGCCACAGCACAGTTTGCACTCCTTAAGGTTCATTAAAGATAAAACCTGCTCACATGAATAAGTTATCACAAACACACAGAGTGTCTTTGATGCAAACAGTCATCTTCAGGTATTTTAGTGTTAGGCATTATAAAATGATAACATGTTTCCAAACCAAAAGACTTGAATTGATCCTTCAGCGTTGATCACTGCAGTCTGATCAGCTCCATGTGGAGTGCACGTTCTTCAACTAAGTAAACTCAGTTAAAACACTTCTGATACTAGTCTGGTAGTCCGTTCTTCTCCGTGTCTGCAATATCGTGATCTAACTCTGTCACTGACTTTTTATGCACCATGAATCTGTGCCATCTCCGTGGGCAATTCGAGGAAGCATTTTAGCGCTGCTCCACGTTAAACCAGCAGACCTCTGTATGATCGGGCAGCCTGTGCGTGATATTGTATTTGTATAAGAATGAAATGTTCAGTAATAGTTATATTTTTACGGTCTGATTAAAGCTGGTGATAAAGGTGCAACAGCAGGCTACAGCATTTAGAAGTGATGTCACGCTGAAACTTTTAGGTGATCAACACAACACGTTCACCTCTGGGTGACCTAAAAATTAACCATCTGTAAATAAAATCAGTTAATATTCATTTTAATTTACTGTTTTTACAATAACCAGAGGTAAAACTAGTCGGGAGATGCATCAGGCTCAATGCCAGTGTCCACAACCTACACTTGTGTGGATGTGTGTGGAGACGGTCTTTGTGGCTCACTCTATAGGAAGCTTTGTTATTATCAGCCAAACTTTTGTTTTACATCAGACAAGACAGGATAAACTGGTAAGAAGTGTGGACAGAGCTGAAGACCGTCATGATGCGCGTGCAGTGCAGCGGTTAAGTCCCGTAGCTCTGATACAATTCTGGCAACTTGTGAGCAAATAAAACTAAAGAAATATCGCTCTTTCGATCTCGCTCGTGCACTCGGCCACTCGTCTTTTTTATGATACTCCCTGCTGAGAAGACAGTTCAAAGTGCCCCGTTTAATTAATATTCATGTCATGATATCAACCTTTAAGTTGCTAATTTTACATAGGTTTTAATACAATTCGGGGAAAATACGTGTTACAAATATTTAATTTATAAAAAATCTCAAAATATTTTTCAATACATTTTCCGACTTGACATCCCTGGTGTAGGAGAATAAACTACAGCATGACTACAGCATGACAGCATTATTACTTTTTCTATAACCTGCTGGTTCCACTCCACCACCCTCCAGAACAGACTTTGACATCGATCTATGAGCAACAGACAATCAGGCTAGCAGGTCGGATTATGCAGGACCCCTCACACGCTCTCTTCCCAGCGTTTGAGTGGCTCCCCTCAGGACGCCGGCTTCGCTGTCCCTGCTGCAGGACACAGAGGAGAAGAGCAACCTTTGTTCCCAGGGCTGTCAAGCTCCTCAACTCCTAACCCCCCCCCAACAGACACCAACACCTCTCACCCAATGCACACTCTCAGCTGTGAACTTGCTTTTTTCACTTCCTTTATATTTGCCATGCACCTTAACTGCCTCTGCTTTATCTGGTCTCATGCACTACATCACTTTATTCTATCCATTTTATATCAGTATTCATACAGTTCTGGTTAATTTATTCCTGTTGTTTCTTATCCATCATTGCACTACGGTCACTTTATTTATCTAATTTTTACCTTTACAGCTACGGTCACTTTATTTATCTCATTTTTACCTTTACAGTTATATTGTATATATTAGTTCTGTTGTTCCATTAGTCACCATGCACCTTAATAACTTATCATTTAGTATTTGCCTACTTGCACATAGCTCTGTACATACATATATATATATATATATATATATATATATATATACTCGTTTACTGCACATAGTTCTGTTTACATCTGGTCACTACTGCACATAGTTATGGTTACATCTGTTTACATCTGTTAGTCCGATCACTGTCCACTTATATCTACTCTTTTATATTTTGTATTTTTAAGTTAAGTTTAAGCTTTAAGTTGTATTTAAATTGACACTTTATATTTAGGTTAAAATGTTTTGTTTACTTGCACTGTTGTTAATTTACTGTTCTGTGTGCCTTTGATTTGCCCCCCGGGGACAAATAAAGTTTTTTGAATTGAATTGAATTGAATGACAGAATAAACACATTAGCCCGGTTCTACAATCTCCCTACTCTGGCAGATTGTCAGCACGTTCAAATCCTTCATTTAAGATCGTTAAATCGAACACCACTAACGACTGGTATCTAAGGGCGCACTCACACTAGGCAAAGTTGTCTCGTACTGTGCTTAAACATGATTGTGCCCTCTCCCCATTCCCGCGCTGGCCTGCACTCACACTGCTTGTAGGCGGAAGATGTGTATGTTTATGGGAGAACAATGTGTCTCACTTCTTCTGTACTGATGGCTGGGCTGGGCTTAGCCATGAGCTCGGGCTGCTCAGAATCTTTACCCTCCTGATTTTTATCAACTTTGATTTCTCTAAGCACAGCCTCTTAGCCTCTTCGTCGCAGAGCTCTCATGCAGGGTTTTTCCTGGCTCAGAATGGGCCTTTGGGGGGTGATTATGCGCACTGTAGTAAACGTTCGACCCGCGTATAACAGTATAGTCTGAGTCTGTATTACCTTATTTGACAGAAATCTCTGCATTTCCTGTTATTTCTGACCATTTTATAAATGATGTATTATCATTATGCTTAAGTTACTGAAACCCCAATTAAATCTGGTAAAGATTTTTTTTTTTATTGCAACAGTGGAACAGGGGAGGAGAGGGATTTTGTGGGAGAGGGGTGTAATGAGATTGGGAGAGAGGGGGTCACATCCTGCCAGTTCATTTCACCCTCTTCCTATGATGGATGCTCTTTTCCTTTAAATTGTGTTTTCGTTTTACATACACATTTGTTTAAGTACATTTATTTGAGTTAAGGTATTATGTCAAATAATCACAGATTTCAGTCACAGATCATTTGGATCATTTGATCAGATCAGGAAATTGAGAAATAATAAGAATATATTTGCTGGCTATACTGCAGCGCTGTCTGACAGTCTGTGTGGAGAAGGTCACAGACTACAGCTGGCTGACTTTACGATCGTTAAGTTATTGATTGTTGATAAAAGCAGACACGGAGGAAGTGGACGGAGAAAAGTTGAATGTGGGTTCCCGACTCGGTCCATATGGATAGCGGATCAACCGTGTTCCGTTGCACTACAAGTAAACAGGTGCGTGCGGTGGTTGGCGTTCCGGTGTGTGTGTGTGCGTTTGCAGCCATGTATGTTGGTGTGTCTCGTCTTGGCGTCCCAAGTAGCCGCAGCTAGCCTACATCATACGTGGTTTAATATAGTTTTGACATGGCTGTTGGGAGAAATATTTACCGCCATGGAAGTACATTGCTCTTTGAAATTAACAAATGGAAAATCACCACGCATTTAACGCTTGTGGGTGTCAGCAGAGCGTCATGAACCAGTCAAAAGAAATGAACAGTCAATCCAGTGCGAGCCACATGCGTAAATGGATGATAGGGGAGATGACTGCTAGAAGTCAGAGACATCGTATTTAAGTTTATGTTCTGATTGTTCAACAGTCGTTTGATGTATTGATATTTAAAGATTTATTTTGGGCTTTTTGTGCCTTTAATGCAGAGATAGGACAGTGGATGGAGTCGGAAACCAGGGAGAGAGAGCGGGGAACGACATGCGGAAGGGGGCCACGGGTGGATTGCATTGTATCCCACAATGCATGGACTATACAGGGTGTGACGACACTCACTTTACAAAACAGTGTTTTCACTCTAAAGTGAGTGAGTGATTTCAGACACACCCTCCGTCTCACTTAATGTCCCGCCCACAACACTATCTAATGAGTAATAGCCAATCAACACTGCGTTCGCACATGCAGCTCACCCAACAGACTTAAGGAGGTTTAAGGAGTTTTGTGAAGATGTGAAACTGTAAGTATCTGAAATACATTTACTGACTCTGTTCAAGTGCCAAAACCGAGAAAAAATGTGCAAGAGTTAGAAGAAAAGTGTAAAACAATGAATCAGCCCTAACAGAGATTAAATCTGCTCTGCATGTATCTATGGTCATGCCTTTTATTTAAATAAAGTTTATTTGAACCTACCTCCTCAGCCTCTTTGCTAACCTTCCGATCTGTTGCAGGCTTCACGGTGTGTTCACTGTCCTCACTGTCAGTCAGCCCCTCGCTGTGATACCTGGTGGCCCACTCTGTGTCACCCTCCCTCCCAAGTAGGGACCCGGCTTGCAGCGAGCGGCCTACCCACCATAGCCCGAGTCGCCCCTTACAGAGCCCCGAGGGCCCCACAGCGAAGCCTGGGGGGAGCACAGAGGAGAGAAGGGAGGCAAAGGAGGGGAGGGGGAGGGGGGAAGGGGGAGGGCGGGCCATCAACCTGCGGAGGCAAACAGGTAAATAAAGAGCAGGAATCTAAAGTTAGAAGGAGGACATACTGGCTGCTGCATTGTTGTCAGAGAAGCCAGCACTTCAACATAGCATGTTTCCTTAATGTCTGATCGTATAGTAAGCTCACTTTATCATTTCACTCACTGCACATCTCACTGAGTGGACCTTTGAAAAATACTACATCTATGTCTGATGGTAGGAGAGGAATGAATGCTGCACTCTGTCTTAACTGCGCAAAACGTTTTCTCTTGCTTTTGCGAAGGTTAGATAGCGTGCAGGAGTTTGTCTGCAATCTCAATACTGGGTCCCTTTTAGTAATGTAATTTGAACTACTAAAACCAACAGGAGGTCACCAGATGACACGGTCACTCGTTACAACGATACACCGGCTGATTTCAGGCTAACGCAGGGAAACGTTTTTCTAGCCAACAACAGTGATAACAGTTAGCATGTTGGCGTTAACATGATAACAGTTAGCATGTTGGCGTTAGCTGAAATCTGTTTCTGTACATTGACTGAACAACATCTCCGCGTGTTCAGCTCTAACTTCCGGGATTTAACATAATTATTAAAATTAAAGCTCAATGCTTAAGAATGAACATTATTAGCTAAACTTCTCCGGTTAGCTTGAAGCTCCGGTTCTTCGATCAGTTTATACACTCTTTTAACAGTTATATTGAAGGTGTACATACTCAGGACGTGCTCGGTTTTTGTAGCCGATTATGTATTATAAAATAAATTTAATTAATCCTGTGTAAACTCTGGGAAAAGCCTTAATAATCCAGCAATAAACGCCTACGGACGTCTTCTTCTTCTTCCTGACTTCTGGCGGTTGACACACAACGAAATTGGCCCATTACCGCCATCACCTGGTGTGGAGTATGATAACTTATTTTACCTACAAAATAAGAATATATTGTAGGCTATATTACGATGTGTTGGTATGTATTAAAGAGCCCATATTATGCCCTTTTTGGGGTTCGTATATTTAATCTATGTACCTACTAAAGTATGTTCACAATAACTAAAGTTTTAAAAAAGTGTCTGTTTTCATGTACTGCCGCTCCATGCACCGGCTCGCTTCTGACTCTCTCTCTAAGGCTCTGAAGTGCCCACGTGTGCCAAGTCTGATCTGATTGGTCGGCCTGTCAGCTCTGCCGTAATTGGTCAGTCGCTCAGCACGGTTTTTGGAAATGTCCCGCCCCTTTTATCATATTGGGAATGCAGCCACTTTAGCTCTGAAGGGAGCAAAAACATTAGCACCTTAGCACTACTGTGCTACCGCATATCGTGGGCGTGCTACAGAAGTTAACGGGCGTGCAACGTGAACTGCAGGGCTTGCCACAACGAGCCAATGGGCTTAGATCAGTGATATCACACTGACAAGACGTCACACTGGCAAAAAATTTTCAAGGGGGGCTAGAACCAAGCGCTACATTTGAGAAGCTAGGAGAAGCCGCGTTTCTGCGGACTTTGAATTTTTGCACATAGATGTGCCTAAACATGCACAGGACACATGGAAAACACACTAAAGGGCATATAAAACCAGAAAAAGCATAATATGACCCCTTTACATAAAAAAAAATACATAGTGTGAAATGTAATGAAACATGACCATATGTGGAAACTGCTGATGCTGATTGAATTGAGTGCAGCTGCACCCTGTTTCGAAACACCGTTTTTTTGTCTTGTGTCACAAACCTGATGAAGCCATGCAGGCGAAATGTGTTGTTTGTTTGAGAATGTAATAAAATAAAAAAAGAAGTCATTCAGTCCTCTTATGTGACTTGAATCTTTTCAATTGCTGTCAAGATGTTTCCAGGACATCCAGTCGCTTATATTTATCTACCTATTATGTATGAAAATAAAAAGGAAAGGAAATAACTAAATCCTCTCTATCCATATTTTTCCTCAGGTTAAGTGTTCCATGTCAGTGATTCAGGTTTAAAAGAAAGCAGGGTGAGACGTTTGGGGAGAAAATTCGACTTAAACATGTACAGGACGACATCAGCAAAAAGTGGGAGAGTAACTGTGTGTGTATGTGTGAGCGTGTAAAAAGTCCAGTTAGCATCTTTAGCAGCAGCCCTAGTTTGGTTAATTCTGTCATCGCACTAATCTCATGTAAACTGAAGTGACAGCGTCGCACGATGACGTCACACAGAGCGTGACGTTCTCCCCGTCTTCACAGAAACACCTTAAACAGAGTTTCTGAACATCTTCACCCTGGAAGGAGTTTTACTAACAGAGAGATTACAGAGACCTGAAACACAGTTTGTGTACGAAAGGTCAAAACGCAAAGAAAAGCTATGTGTTCAAATAAACACGCCTTGGAGGGTTTTCTAACAAGAATCCTTTTATTGAGGGACACAGTCTCACAGTTTAGCCATTATATTAAACCAGCTCTAACATGACATGGTCTCCGTCTGTGCACAGCCAGCAGAACTATATGTTCTCGTTAAAATTGGGTAAAAATCATCTGTGAAAGAGAGAGAGAGGTGAACGTGTGTGAGGAGCTACGGAGCGAGGGGCTGAAGAGTCCTTAAAAAGCCTCCATTCAGTCTCAGAGAAATGCTGCCGCCACCGCCCAAAATACACCAAACACACCTCACACACCCTGTCCTGTTCTACTTTGGCATTGTGTTATTTCAGCTGTTCACAGAAGAGACACACAAACAGATTATTTACCCTCAGAAATGGCGGTTAGTCGTCAGTACCTGGAATCTTTGGGCGTGGACCGTCCTGGAAACATGCAGGACAGACGGATCTCTGCCGCCATGACATCATCATGAACATATTTCTCTAAAGCTGCAGTTTGAACAGAAACCAGAGTCACTCCTGAATCAACCAAAGAGTCTTTATTCGGCATGAAAAGAGGTACAAACAAACATTCACAAACAAGACAAAATGATGAAATATATGAACAGCACGTTTGTCTGAAATCAGTATTTAAACTATGACGTAGCAGATTTTAAAGACTTCAGATGTGATGAAAGTTTGATTTGATACTGTCAACAAATTACTTGGTGAAAAGACCAAAACCAAGGATGTGTGCGTCTGCTTGTCGCTGCTGTTGGACGACTTTCAAAGAAGTCACAGAGAGAGTTCAAGGTGCTGAACCGAAGGACTCTTTACTTCATCTGTATTAACTTCTCTGATAAGACCATGTCTCCAATAAGGAGGATCAGGCTAGTCCAAACTGGTCAGTCCACACTTTTGTTCTTAGTTGTAGTCTTTTTTTTTTTTTTTTAAAGATTTATTTTGGGCTTTTCGTGCCTTTAATGCAGAGAGAGAACAGTGGACAGAGTCGGAAACCAGGGAGAGAGAGCGGGGAATGACATGCGGAAAGGGGCCATGGGTGGAAGCAAACCTGGGCCTACTGCTCAAGACGAGAGTCTCAATACATGGGACGTGCGCCCTAACCACTGCGCCACCAGCGCGCACCCAGTTGTAGTCTTTTCTTAACATAAAGTCATAGAACACATCATGAGTGAATAAACTGACGCAGTGTCTCAGTTCAGGGGCAGCATACTTTGAAGACAGAAAACGTCTTGTGACACAACAAAGGCTGTCTCCTTTCACAGGCGGTGGGGGGGCGGGGTGTAGAGTCATGTCCCAGTGTTGTGGCTAATTGCATGTAGCCTACCTTGCAGGAGAATACAAAAATGGGGGACATAATTTCTATGCGGCTGTACTTTGCATCCACCCTTACATCCTGTTCTGCCAGCACTCAATGCGAGCAAGCGTCAGCGACAAAATCAGCTTGAGTCTATTGTACTGTTGGAGTGTCCTAACTGCCCGCGAGTGACACAGCGCGATGGAGCGCGACGACCCATTTTAACCCTAACACCCCGTTTCTATTTTCCAAAGAAAGAGAGGGCTCTACACAGCTCTGACCCTCTCTCGCCTCACTCAGCACAGTATGTTACCTTGCTTTAATAAGTGGAGATAACCGTTTATTTAAAATATCCACATCTGTGATTGAAATGTTGACCTTTGACCTGTGTCAACACCTGAGCAAAACCTTTTTTCTGGCTGACCGCGAGCCGTTTATTGACGAGCTTCCAAGTGTTGTGATTTGAGTCAACAGCGCACAAAGCACAACACTTCAGTTTGTACCCCTTCAAAATAAAAGCACCAAACTTCAGTTTGTCCACCTTCAAAATAAAAGCACCAGATGTCGTGCTGTTTGCAAGGGGAAACAAAATTTCACAGAGCAGAGAATGAAAATATTTAACTGATGAAGTGTAACCCTAACCCCAATCTGTACCGTACCTCAGCATGTCTTTTTTAGTCCGCCTTGGTTTAAAATTTAATCAATTAATACATTTAATTTAAAACGGGGCGAACAAATGTGTCCTTTCCCCGGCCAACAAAGGATACATCCTGTGCATGCTTTGTATCCCAAGATTCATTGCACGCCAATTGAAATTGGACGACGACCTGCCAAGCTTCTGATATCTATATATGTCGATGATGCAGCTTTAAATGTTGGTTACTGGTCTCTGTCACAGCAGACGATACATTATTAAAGAACAAATGTAGAAATGAAATGAAAAACGGCTCTGCAACCTACTTGAGAACCACTACTTAAAAGGATGACACTCCTGAAATGAGACACAGGTGCAGCTTGTCTTTGGTTTATCAGGTGAGACGATGACAGGAGGCCCCGCCCCCAAACAAAACATTAAGATCACAACAGGCGAAGTTTCATACTGTCATGGAAACTGACACTTATCTTCTGTGGTTACACGACATAAGACACCTAAAGGGTCCATCACACACACACACACACACACACACACACACACACACACACACACACACACACACACTGTGTTCAGTGTGATGTTTAATCTGGTTGAAACACACTGTGGCTGTGTGTCATTAATAAATAAAGTTAATATCCGTTTACTCACGAGTGTAGTGTGTACCTCTGATCTGGTTTACAGTCCAATTAAACAACATAGTACTGTGAAACAAACATCAGACCATCCCAACATGTCTTCATTCTTACGTTAAAGCATCTTTTAATCCGGGATGAAAGGAGAAGATGATACACATCTGTGTGTGTCAGATGTGTATCATCGGTGATTAGCTTTGCTTAGCTTAGCTTACCAGAAAGACTGAGAACAATGGGAAACTGTTAGCCTGCCTTTGGCCAAATTTGAGAGAGAGGTAAACTTTGAGCTTTAAAGCAAACTTTACAAACATTTTGTCTCATGTTTGATACACAGAAGGATAGTTAAAGTGCAAATGTGTCAAAAAGACACAAATCGCACACAAACGGTTAGGGCGTCACATCTCTTATAAATGTCATGGCTCGGTTACCACCAACTCTCAGCAGACCCTAATTTTTCCACTGTGCAGAGTGCAGCTCCGTCAGTGTGAGAGTACAGCTTCATCAGTGTGAGAGTGCAGCTCCATCAGTGTGAGAGTGCACCTCCATCAGTGTGAGAGTACAGCTCCATCAGTGTGAGAGTGCACCTCCATCAGAGTGAGAGTGCAGCTCCGTCAGTGAGAGTGCAGCTCCGTCAGTGTGAGAGTGCAGCTCCGTCAGAGTGAGAGTGCACCTCCGTCAGTGTGAGAGTGCAGCTCCGTCAGAGTGAGAGTGCAGCTCCATCAGTAACTAAATGTCATCCAGTGATTGTTCGCAAACTTCTCCAAAACAATAAACCAGTTTAACCAGAACAAAAATCCTGTCGTCCAATCAGACGCTGCCTTCTATAAAACGTATTTTACAGCAACAAAGTTGTATGACATCACACACAACCCGATAAACTCAGAGCATAACAATATGTATATTATTTAAATATATTAAAAGTAGAGAAAAATCACATCAGCATGATGCAGCACCCTTCAACATTTTAACCCTTAAATCATCTTAAATATAAATGTTCTTATCATTTATTCCTGGTTTGAGTTTGTGTCTGCTCTCCTCCTCCTCCTGTGTTCTTCTTCTGGACTTCACTGCACAGGCAGATACACACACACACACACACACACACACACACACACACACACACACACACACGTCAAAAATGTCTCCTGTGATCATCTGTCGCTGAGTTTTTTTAAATTAGTGTAAAAACTCACCGCCAGTACACTCCACCTGTGGAGTCTCCCACTGCCCGTCTGCTTTACAGCGGACCACAGGCAGGTGGCGCTGTCTGAAGCCCGGGTTACACTGATACCTGATGATGGAGTTCACAGGATACTCCTCCCTCCTGGTACCAAACATGTGGGTGTTCTCCACCTGAGGGGGGGCGCCGCATGACACTGAGGACAGAGCCAGAGAGAGAACAAAGGATATGATGTCACAGCGGCTTGACACAGCGAAGAAGGACAAACGCAAACAAAGAGACAACATGTGTGAATTCAAACCGGTGAATATGACGGACGTGGACGTAACAGCAAAGAAGAGAAAATATAATCAGAGTGAGGAAAAACACCAAGCGTATAAAGCTCGTTCTAAAACAAGGGTGAACCTTGTGTTGTCTTTTACCTGTGGACGTGGAGTTGATCTACTTCCTGTTGGACAGGCAGGTGACAAACACCGGCGGTTAGCTTGAGCTAGCATGCGTTAGCTTGCAGTGTAGCTACAAGCAGTAAACGTACACACTACGTCCTGCAGGGGACGGGCAACGGGAGCAAATGGGGGTTAAGTGTCTTGCCCAAGGACACATCGGACTTGACAGAGCTCAGAGAAGCTACAGTAACAGGATGTCATGTCTGGACGTACCTGGGCCTTTCTTGCAGGTAAACGGCAGGTGGTAGTCGCAGGGCACGTCGTTCCACTGACCGCTCTCGTTCCAGATCATCACCACACAATCCTCCACAGAGTGAAAGTAATCATCCGGCTGGTTGGGCATCCAGTTCTCATATTGCTGAGGAAGAGGAAGAAGAAGAGGAGGAGGAGGAGGAAGAAGAAGAAGAGGAGGAAGAGGAGGAGGCGGAGGAGGTCGAAGAGGAGGAGGAAGAAGAGAAAGAAGAGGAGGAGGAAGAGGAGGAAGAAGAAGAGGAGGAAGAGGAGGAGGCGGAGGAGGTGGAAGAGGAGGAGGAAGAAGAGAAAGAAGAGGACGAGGAAGAAGAGGAAGAGGAGGAAGAGGAGGAGGTAGAGGTTGAGAAAGGTTCAGTCAGTTTCTTCAGGTCTGAATCAGGGACGGTACAAGAGAGTCCAGTTCGTCAGCGTAGCTTCAGAGTTTCGTACAGAGACGATAAACAAATATTCCATCAACGAATCAGAAACGTTACGGCTCAAGTATTCGTGCTTTTGAATCAAAGCGGCTGCGTAGTGACCATTAATGTTCACATACTTTCCTATACACAAAGGAAGAGGAGGAGGAAGAAGAAGAAGAGGAGGAAGAGGAGGAAGAGGAGGAGGAGGAGGAAGAGGAGGAGGAGGAGAAGGAGGAGGAGGAGGAGGAGGAGGAGGAGGAAGAGGAATGAGAGGAAGAGGAGAGGAAGAGGAAGAGGAAGAAGAGGAGGAGGAGGAAGAGGAGGAGGAGGAGGAGTGGAGGAGGAGGAATGAGAGGAAGAGGAGGAGGAAGAGGAAGAGGAGGAGGAGGAAGAGGAATGAGAGGAAGAGGAGGAGGAGAGGAGGAGGTGGAAGCTCTCTGCTGTCTCTGCTGTCGCTATGCAACCCTACACTGCTCCTAGCCGTTTTATACATTTTGAATCTTGGGATGTATAGCATAATTTCAGAGGGCGTGCACCACCAACACTCAAACCCACCGAAGGATACACGAGGCTGATATCATCAAATGATCCTTTATCGTCCTTGTAAAATCGTCCAAGCCGACTAAATGCTGGAGGTAAAGGTGACTCTGGGAGAGCATTTCGTAAAACCAGGATAAAGGATCATTGGATTATGTGATAATGGAGCCTGAGGTTTAAGAGAGTTGAAGAATATTTAACTCAAGTGACGCCACCTATAATCCTGCTGAATGCAATGTGTGACAAAGAATCCCAGGTGGGATTGGCTATAATGGATCCACACGTGTTGGTCTCCCTGTATGACAGCAGACATCACTACATGCTCTCTCTGAGACCAGCTGCAGATAAGTAGATTTTATCCCATCTCTCCCCCTATCCCTTTTCAAGCCCGGCGCAGTCTAGGCCTGTGAAGGCTGTTTCATCATGAGCCGGGGATCCAGCTGAAGATTTCTGCCTTTTAATAAGGCAGTTTTTTCTTACCACTGTAACTTTTGCTGCTTTGCTAAAGTGTTCATGATGGATAGGCCGGGTCTTTGTAATATAGCAATATTGTAACCTATACCTGCTTTTTGTAACATAACAATGAGTAAGGTCTTTTACCTGCTTTTTGTAACATAACAATGAGTAAGGTCTTTTATCTGCTTTTTGTAACATAACAATGAGTAAGGTCTTTTTACCTGCTCTTTTGTAATATTAAAAGAAAACATTTGTTATGAGTTGACGCTATACAAATAAAAATTGACGGTTGATTGATCGAATTGAGTAGAAATCACACTCACCAGAGGAGTCCCGTCTGTCCATCTGAAGTCGTTCTCCATCGTCTTATCGTTCAGACCGATCCACTGGTAGTCCTGCACGTTCACTGTGGAGAGAAACACGTTTGATTGGACTCTTCACACCCTCTGTCTCTGTATTCATCAACACACACCACATGACACACTTACTGTTAACAAAGTGCTGCTCCTCGGGGGTGATGATGCTGACCAGGTGTGCGTTCAGGTCTCTGCAGCTCTGCTCTGCCTCCAGCCATGTCTGTCTGTCAGAGACGTGCAGGTAGCAGTTCCCCTGAAACTTAATCCAGCCGTCCTCACACAGCTGCTTATCTGCAGCCACGACACCAAACGTGTTAGCATTCTGAATGAACTAAATATTCTTTTATTTGGCTTTTACGGCTTTGACACTCTGAAATGGTCCTCAACATCTACTAATGATATTAGGGCGAGCCTTAAATTGTAGAATCCTCAATGACTGGTTGGTCATAGCCTCAGTGTTTATTGTCTAACTGTACATAGATGTGTCTGTTTTAAATCATTCATGGCTCATAGCCTCTCTTGGTATAAATATCACCTTATTAGTACTTTTAATGCAGCTTTGAAAACCACTAGTACTTTAAATCACTCTCCTCGGTGTGCATGAAGAAATCACCCGGATTGATAGAGGCAGTTGATCCATGTTCAGAGTATTTCATTGGCTATAAGATATGTCAATCATCGGCACAGTCACGTTCAATTCTCCGTCAGAACAGGGGGAGGCACCTCCTTTAAACAAAGGCTCATTGGCTGTTAAAGGCTGTTATGAGGTGTCATCAAAAGGTCAGAGAAAAGTGAAGGTACATTTGAATCAGTCCGTGGATCTTTATGGATGTAACGTGTTTGGATTCAATCTTTCTCTGGATTTCAATCGTGAGGGCTCATTAAGGAGGATTATTACCAGAGTCAGAAGAATCAGGAGAGCTCAGTCAGTTTGTTTGTTGCAGGTCTGACAGATGTGTAGGTTGTGGCTGCTGTGGTGGTCTGTCCCACAGACACGGGGTCGTCAGTGTGTGTGCCTGCTGTATTGGTCGTGTGAAATATGGTTATAATGTCACATTAATTCAGACTGAATGAGTGGGACGAAGGATGGATCGAGTCCTATCATAGAATAAATTGTTATTTCAAATCTTAAAGACAGTTAATTGATGTGGTTAAACTTAAAGGAGAATGAGGATCAATGAGCACCAAAAAACCACCAAACAATAGACAACGAGCAAAATCTGTAAGTCCTTAGTCGGGGACAGGCCTAATGGATGGTAACACTAAAGCACAGCATGTGATGAGGAAAGGTCATTAGTGTTCATATCATTGAGTCTGCTGTCTGTGTTCTTATTGTGTGAGCAGATAGAGCTCCTTAGTGTTCATAACCTCTGTTCTGTTTGTGCAGTGAGTCAGGGAGGAACGCGTTTCTCTGCGACGCCATCAGTCTGTCTGAAACCATGTTTCCATCCTGACACACAAATAAACGTCTGCTCACAGAATGGAAAAGTCACAGTGAAGCTTCAGTTGAGCGGGGAGAGTCCCGCCCAACAGTGAGGTTGAGTGAATTTCCCATATTTTTCTTTGACGGTGACATTCAAAGGTCCTATTCATTCTGCTGCTCCAGGGAAATGTCTTTATTCCAACGGTCAGTTCACCCACATTACACCACTCAGCCAGTCACCAATCTTCTGTTTTATGAATGTGCAGGTATGACACACCTTCACCACATGTTCTCCTAGAGACATTAACTCTTTGAGTCAACTCAAAGTCCATCTAACATCTCAAGGACTTGGTCCGACTTGTGGCGGGCTGAAACCCAGCATGTGAGGTTCCCTGAACAGTCAGTGTATGACATGCTCCCAAATCCATCCAACCTAGTCTGCTGGGACAAAGTTTAGACCCCTTCTCCCTCTTTGTGTTCTGGGGCTGGACTCTGTCCATGCTGTCTGAAAGCCCTGGGAGAGTTCCACTCAAATCGGCACCATGACCAGATGCAAAAGAGGGTAATTGAGACCATCGGCTCATCCACAGCCTGATACAAACACCACAAACCAGCACAGCGAACCCCCCTTCATTAAACCCAGGTAGAAGACCAGAATGCAGAACTTCATGTACTCTGTGTCCTTTCACTGCTTTTATGGAAAGTTCATTGTGTTCCTAAGCCTGGCACAGATTGTACAGTTTTGGGCCATCCCAGTCAAATGATAATCAAGTATGGTCATGTGTTCCTCCGTTGTTCTGTGAGATTGGATCTGTAGCCATTGGCACTCCTTTATGCATCTCATCTCTCTTAATGCATGTAAGATGAATCATTTCGGTCATTTTTTTCCTTTAGATCCCGATATGAAATTATTTTCCCATCCCTGATTATATCTCCCAGACAATGAATGTTAGAACTCTGCCACCTAGTGTTGACCAATGGTTTGCCACCTGCTCCAAAAAACACACCATTATGCCAAATTCTTGCGCTGTAAGAGGACCAAAGATAGCCAGAGACTAATATCTGACGATCATCTCACATATGAATGCTTCTACAATCTACGTCAACTAACCAACCAATAGAAATGCAGCGTGAAACTTGGCACTGAGCAGTGCGCCGAGCTGTCAAAAGCGTATGCTAGCAATAACGTGACTTCTCTCAAGCTCTCTTTGTAACACTGGCATCCAAAGTTGGCCTCTTTTTCCTCACCACAACCGTGTCAACATTTCTTTATTCCTCCTCATTTTTCTTTTTATCTTTTCACTATGGTGAGAGCTCGCTTTCTACTGAGTGCCATGGCAACCTCAGCCACACTGATGATGCTGATGATGCTAATGACGCTGCATGTTGACTCGCCTTGCAGTCTACACTTCACAGGTACCTCATGGCACAGTGTCCATGCATGTGGTATAGAACATGTGGTACCAACATTATGATGGTAGGATTTGTTGTGATTGCAGTGAACTGATCCCCGAGTTAATCAAACAACCTTTTCTCTGATAGAAACACAAACACAGCTATATGTCGTCTTTCTTCATCTGCTAGGCAACCAGGTATCCTCTTCACTTCATTTGTACACAGCGAGATTGGATGTGCTCATTATGTATAGCATCATTTGTTTTTTCCAGAAGCTGCTGTTAGTGTTGATTAGCTGAAGCTGATGTCGTACCGATCTCACAGCGCTCCCCTCCGTAGCTTGGCAGGCATAAGCATTTGTAAGAGTCTGCGTTCTCCACACAGGTGGCTCCATTGGCACACGGGTTGGAATGGCACACATCTATCTCTGCAAGAAAGGGGGCGGGTGACACTACTGTATCAGCAAGGGATGTGTTGGTGGAAGGGGGGGGGGGCTATCAGAAGTCAGGACTGAAGAGTTAGTAAAGATTCTGTCATTGCTGCAACCTCTTCTACTTACTGCACAGCGAATCATCAGACATGTTCTTTTTTATCTGATGAATCTTATTATCTGCCAGCCGCCATGTTACCACAGATTTAAACCTGCCGCTGCTGTCCACAGGAGGAATACATCGACGCAGCGGCCATCTTGGGGAGGGGTAGCCACAACTCCTAAAGACTGTAAGTCTAAGACAGCAGGAGGTCTCTACACAATTAAAATATTCATAACTTAATGAAATGTGAAGCAGATTGTTTTGTCACAATCGTCAGACATGAAGGTTTTTATTCTGAAATTTTCTCCCACCTCGCATGTTATTCCTCACTCTCTCTCCCTCTCTCTCTCTCTCCCAAGTTTCTGACTCTATCCTCTGTCCTATCTCTAAAATGAAGACATTAAAAGCCCCCAAATCTTAAAAAAAAAAAAAAGACTTAACTGAAGTCTGAAACGCTTTCAGGCGGACTACGTGGTGACTCAAGCGATGATGAACTTTCTGAAACTTTAGAGATAGCTATCTTATTATTGGTGTCATTGCTGTCTCATGTTTAGATGACTTTCTGCACCTGCTAAAAGGAGCAGAAAGGTTTCAGGGACCTTCGATTGGCACCAAAGGGCTCCAAACTGTTCCTGCTTTTTGTTGCTATAAATAAGTATCCTGACTTATAAATACATATCTGACGTTTTTGACAAAACAATGCACTTGGGAATTGAATCACATTTCATGAAGTAATGACTATTTTAATCGTGTTGCGACCTCCTGCTGTCATGGACTTTCATTCATTAGAAGCTGCAGCCACACCTGTCCAAGATGGCGGCCGCGTAGTCGCATCTCACAAGCTCATAAAGTGGCATCTCGGTGTTTATATCCATTTTAATGTTACCAGATGCGATTTATGAGATTTAATGCAATCAAATCAGACAATGAATGCAATAACATGTTTGTTTTCACCAAAGAGGACTGATAATTGTACGATCTGCAGTAAGTTCATGTTCAAATCTGTTTGAAGTTGCAGCGAAAGATTAGTAATACATGACATCCATATGATGGCAGAGGGCTCATATGGTGCTCGGTTCTTTAGCATGCAAACAGCAGAGCACAGGCGGCCTCCTGGCAGCAAACCAAAAACTACATACAGGCTGAAGACATTTTTCGTATCTCGTTTGACACTGACATCGAAGACACATTTTCAAACAAGCATCTCAACATTTAGTCTACCTCACAAACACAGAGACCGGGAATCAGACGGACAAAATGAGTCAAAGGAAATCAACAGATGAGAAACAAAACAGCCAAATCATGATACAAACACATCCGGGCAGGACAGCAGAGCGACAAAGAAGATGACAGTAGCTTTAATTCTACTGAATCACATTCAACATCACAAACAGTCCAATATTGATCTGAAAAGATGATTAATTAATTAATGGGATGAACAACAACAATTTAAAACATGCAAACTCTTTAACAATACAAAAAAGAAGGAAACCAAACCAATCCTCTGAAAATAAAATACGATTTTTTAGGGAAATGAAAGGGAATGGGTCAGGTATAGCTGCTGTTTCTGGACTTACCATGGCAGTGAGGAACCCTGTCCTCTACTGTGCATGAAGAGTTTCCACAGGGGTTTGGTTCAGAGAGGTTAAAACCACCTGGAAACAAAGTAAGAACTATTCAAATAAAGCGCTGAAAAATGTTAAGGGCAAAAAACTGCAGTTCCGTAAATGGCCACTCTTGCAGTCTCCTGTCTCCTGCAGTGAGTCAGTCCCCATAGAGCCCCATGTTAAAATGTCCAACTTTACAGCTGCAGTTCCTCCAGTGTCCACTAGAGTCTGTCTCCTGCAGTGAGTCAGTCCCTATAGAGCCCCATGTTAAAATGTCCAACTTTACAGCTGCAGTTCCTCCAGTGTCCACTAGAGTCTGTCTCCTGCAGTGAGTCAGTCCCCATAGAGCCCCATGTTAAAATGTCCAACTTTACAGCTGCAGTTCCTCCAGTGTCCACTAGAGTCTGTCTCCAGCAGTGAGTCAGTCCCCATAGAGCCCCATGTTAAAATGTCCAACTTTACAGCTGCAGTTCCGCCACTGTCCACTAGAGTCTGTCTCCTGCAGTGAGTCAGTCCCCATATAGTCCCATGTTAAAATGTCCAACTTTACAGCAGATATAAACATGTTTACAGCCTGGTACTAATTCATGAGACATATTGTGCTGAGCTGCATGTATAAACACAAATACCACAAATTTTAACCCTGAATACTTCTGGCCAGCCTTCTGGTGAAAATTCTGCGTGAAGCTTTGCATCATTAGCTTGCCCTGTTAGCACAAGTCATTGTGACAATACCAGAGTAAGGAAGATTAGGGCGGCTATGGCTCAGTTAGTAGAGTTGTCTCCTCTCAACCAGAAGGTCAAGGGTTCAATCCTCAGCTGGGCAAGACACTTAACCCTGAATTGCCCCTGCTGCTTCAGTGGCGGTGTATGAATGGGATTAGTTACTTCTGATGGATGATACTACATAGTGATCACTACCATCAGTGTGTGAAAGGGTGTGAATGGGTGGGTGTGACATGCAGTGTAAAAGTGCTTTGAGTAGTTGGAAGACTAGAAAAGCACTATATAAGCTCAAGTCCATTTACCATTAGCCTGCTAATAACCAGAATGGAAATATGCTCCCATTCATTTTTGTGGAAGGAAAAAGCTTTAGAGTGCTGATGGGCTTTGTTTGAGCTGGAGTATTGTGATTACTCAAGTACTTGCAATTACTCAAGTTTTAAATTGCTGAAAATGCCCTTCCCAACTTTCTCCTTGCCTGTATAACATGCTCATCATTGTCATTAATAGTCTTCCATAAATATAATGAACCAGCATCACTTTGGCAAGCAGGTTGCTTCTTGTTGCTTAGAATGAGTCTGACTCCATTCATCACTGACTGTGTGACATGTGTAAGAACAGCTGAAGGCTGAACATATATGTGTTTACGATCCTAAAACTCTATCCTTCCAAAGTTTAATAGAAGTCATGTATTTGTTCATAACTTATGAAAGAAAATATTAAACTGTCACACAAAAATGGTTGACCAACCTTTAACTGAATCAGTTTCCGTATTACTGCCTGGGCTGTGAATGGAGGCTGGGGCAGCTAGGGTTGTAGGGGCAGCGAGTCCTGCTGCGAGTCCCGAGTCTCCAGAGGAAGATCCTGAAGACATCCCGCTGGCTGAGGACATGTGGTCGACTCCACCACCGGAGAAAAACCCACTGCTGCTTCCTTCTCCTTTGAACTCCATCGAACCCTGTCCAAGCTCCAGAGATGGTTTACTGTCTCTATCAGTTATAAAATCCCCTGACAAGAAGGTAACAGTGCCTTCCTCTCCGCTTGATGAGGACTCACTTCCAGACGCTTCTAATCCAGATGTTCCTGATCCTGACACTCCTGATCCAGATGTTCCTGATCCAGACCCTGACACGAAACTTGAGCTCTTGTATCCGGACAGAAATCCACCACCCCCTTGTCCAGAGCTGTAAAGTAAAAACCCAGAGGCCTCCTGCTCTCCAGAAGCAGACACTGAGAGGTCAGTAAACCATGAGCCCACAAAGTTTACACCTGAGAATCCAGAGTCCTCTCCAGAGGCTGACCCACTGAGATCCCCACTGAGACTCCCAGATCCTGAAAGGTCTCCAGAGCCACTGAACACCAGGAGGCCCCCACCAAGTTCATTCTCCCTGTAGGTTCTCAGGGCTGATGCATCAATCAAGTCACCATCTATAAATAAGATCTGAGACTCACCACTCCCTGATAGTCCACTTCCTGACAGTCCACTTCCTGAGTAGAGTCCTGATGAACCACTGAACTCAGAGAAGTCCTTGGTGGTGATGAACCCAGAGAAGTGTACAGAGCTGTCCAAAGAGGAGCCACTTTCTGCAGAACTGAAACCAGATCCAGACTGATCCCCACTACTACTGAGCACCCCAGATCCTGCTCCAGATGACGGGAGGATGAGGAGCTCTGTGCTCCCTTCTACAGCTTCCTGGAGTCCACCTGAACTAGATCCCTCTCCAGAGACAGCTCCTTCAGAACCAGAGAAAACCACAGTTAGGCCAGATGCGTCTCCACGGAGACCTGATCCAGATCCATATACGGGAGCATCACTACTGCTGAACCCTGAAGATCCACTGGGCAGACCAGAGCTCATACTGCCAGACCAGTCTATGGACGCAGACAGCTCTCCAGAACCAAACAGGTCTCCAGAGGTACCCCCCGAAGCATTATCAACTGCAGAGCCTGAGCCAAAGTCTGCTGAACCTGACCCAGACCCTGAAGACTCAACGGCGATAGGAGGAACGATGGAAGGTCCAGCTAAAGGGACATAGACATAAAAAGGTTAAGTAAGGGATAATGTACAGTGAAAGGGGTTGGTATAGTTGAGAATCAAGTATTTAACACAGCTGTGTCATAATTATAAATAATGAAATTATTCAGAAATAAATTGACATCTGAATAAGTAAGAACCTATTTGGATTATATGATGTATAACTTACCAGGCCTCAACAAATCAATAATGGATGTTTGCTTCAGGAGAGCCTTCTGGATATCTGTGATGTTCAGTCCAGTTTCATTAGCAATGAGTAGAATATCCACTAAAAGAATGAAACAAGTAGATGACAAATTAGATGACCTTAAGAAAACAAAAATGAAAGCGAATGAAACCTTAGGACAGGCTTCCTAGAAAAACGTCAGTGTTTACCTCTGAAACAGTACGCGTCATATCTGGACTCAGGTTCAGGGTAGCCTGTCTGGTTGGGGTGAGTGTACACCGTGTGAACTCCGGATTTCCCGCCTTCACACTCAGGACAGGGGCTGTTGATCGGATAGCGGACGCTTTTATCGGCAAGCCAGCCAGCACGACACTTATCAAAACCCATTTTCCATGCTGCATAGAGTTCTCCGATGGAGGCCAGCACAGCGTTGTGCTCCTGACAGCTGGAAGCTGCCTCGTTAAGGGTGAAACCCTCAGCTGAGCCCACATGGAAGACTTCCCCTGAGGAGCAGGAAAGGGTTCATATCAAGCTTAATTTACTTGACTACAGGCTCTTGATGGTTTGGCCCAAACTGTGTTGCCTTTTATCATTTTTAAATCAAATGGACAGCTCAGCCTATTAACTCTCAGAACTCTGGAACTCCATTCATAAAGCTTAAATAGATGTAAAATGTGTGACTAATTAAACACCATAACTGTAAAGATATTAAGCCAACAATGTAATTTACCAACTGTTTGCATTACATTGTTCTACATGTGTTCCTGTTCTTGCTTTTGGTGTCTTTGTTGGGATTGTGTTATTGCTTGTTTTTTTGTGTACCTGTGTATGGTGTGTACTGTTTAAATACCTGCTTGATTTTGCCTCTTCTGTTTTATACCCTTGTTTCTACACTCTATTCTAAAACACCTGAAGCTACTCCCCCATGTATCTTGGTATAATCATGGACATCACAGATACATTGGACGAACCAGATGCATTGTTTAAGTGTTTTAGCAAGCATGCCAGTTCTCAACACCACAGGAGGATTTTGAAAGGAAAAGAATTAAGATAGGGGAGAAAAGCGATAAAACAGAGAAAAAAAATAAGGAGAGAGTAAATAAATAGACATAAACTGTAGAGCAGAATCAGAAGCTTGTTGATAAGAGTTAGCCATATATGCTACTGAAATTCCCCCTCTGCTCACAGATTAACATTCACTAGACGTCTCTCTTTGCTGTCTTGATATTACTGCATTATCTGATGTGCATGATATGCATCCAAAGATACATGAAGGATTCATGGTTTTATTGTGCTATTGTTCAACCATATGGAAAGGCAACACTATGATGCAAAATAAAAACAATTGATAGTTCTCCTTAAAGGTCCAATCAGTGAGATGTTTAGTGAGTGAAATGATAAAGTGAGCTTAGTATATGATCAGACATTAAGGAAACATGCTATGTTGAAGTGCTGGCTTCTCTGACAACAATGCAGCAGCCAGTATGTCCTCCTTCTAACTTTAGATTCTGGTCCTGAATGCTCTGAAATTGGTTGGACCAGAGAAGGTAGGCGGTTTTAAGACACCCCCACACGGCAGTTTTGGACGCCACTCGGTTTGCCAGATATGACACCAGTTATCAGGTCAAACCAACAGGTGTTGCAGCGATGGAAGCGGGCAAGAGAAGTGGTTCAGATAGAAGTGATTGTTCCCAACCTAAAAAGAGAGAGACAGCTCTCTACAATGTTTAGAATTTAGACTGCAGTACCCATTTTAAACACAAGGTGTCAGAGTTACATATTGCTCCTTTAAATTCATTGAAGTTAAAGTAACAAGATCTTAGAAGAGATGATAATTCGACAGAATAAACTGTCTTCTTACCTTTGAGCCCATCGATGAAGCAGTACACATCATATCTTTCTTCTGCTGGCCTCAAACCATATGAGCGAACTCCAGGTTGATCCCCAAGATCTCCAGCACAGTTATCCCGAGGGGAAATAATTGGATACCTTGAAAAACAGAAACCATGGTGATGTGTTGTCCAGGAGATAAATCTCTCTACCTGCTCTAAAAATGCATTTTAGATTTACCTCACAGTCTGGTCCAGTAACCATCCTGCGTCATATTGGTGATATCCGGCCATATAGGATGCCTGTAGCTGCTGTGGGGAGGCGATGGAGGCTCCGACACTCCTACAAGCCAGCTGGGCCTCAACGAAGGTGAAGGCATAGCGTCTGGAGCCAGAGCGGTAAAGGAAGACCACACCTTTAACAAGATACAGCACATATGCTTGTGTGAAGGAGCAATTTTGTTGTGTTTTCTTCATGAGAAACCATGACTGGACTTTACATGTAATCAAAATGTGAGTTTCAGTTCTATCACTGACCAGTAAGAGGCATCACAGGGCCTGTGCTGGGCTGAAGGTCCATGTTTGGTCTGGTGGTGGCTGCCTCTATCAGGTCAGTGACAAAGTCTGTTACGTTTGTCTGCTGTGGCAGCTCTGATGGCAGTTCTGTTGGCCGTCTCGTTGTTAGCGCTGACTTTGTTGGCAACTCTGTCGGCAGGTTTGTTGTTAGCTCTGTTGGAAGCTCTGTCAGTAGGTTTGTTGTTAGCTTTGCAGGAAGCTCTGTCGGCAGGTTTGTTGTTAGCTCTGTTGACAGCTTGGTTGTGCTCTCTGTGAACGGGAAGTCGATGTTGGGACGAAGAGTCTCCAGCTCTCCGACCGCCTCGCTCTCTTTGGTGGTCTTTGTTAAGAAGACCTCAGTGCTTTGTATCACTGTGGTAAAGCTGACAGTGCCACTGCCTTCTTCTTCAGAACCTGAACCCTCCTCATCAGGAGACTCTGGATGTGATTTAAGGGAAAGAGTAGAAGATCCCACAGAACTTTTGGTTAATTTAGGTTTTTCCTCCAGAAGTGACAATGTATGAGTCCACTGCAAGAACCTTGTGTGGAAATTGTGAAAAAAAGATTGAACTGTGGCCACTTAACCTGCACAAATAAGATATTAAAAACAGTCTATTTGTAAAAGAAGCTGACAAAGATGATATATCTTCCAAACAGAGATGTAGACAAATTTGAAATAGTCAACGTCTACGTTGATGACACAATGCTGTTTCTGACAGTAAAGCTCAGCTCTGCTTTGAAACTCTGTGCTCTAAAGAACTGTCTCACATGAAGAAAGAACTGAAGAAAGAACTGAAGAAAGAACGGTCTCACATATATATGACAGATTGATCTCAGTGTGAAATCAAACTGAGAAATCAGGTATCCTAACCATGGACCATGATAAGTTCCATCCTGGCAAACAGTCCTCTATTGGTTCAGTTTTAGAGAAAGTTGGAGTCTGATCTCTGACTGTAACGTCATATTTGAGACACAAACCAACAAAGTCATCCAGTCATACTACTGCCGACTCATGAAATCTGCAAGAATATAATAGATACTGAGTTTTTGAGACTGGAAAGGTTTATTATTACTATTGAATGGCCATCTGTAGAAGTGTTTTAATTTGTATAAATCAAAAATCTGTGAATGGATTCAACACTCTCCTCAAATCTTAACATTTCGTCCCTGGTTCTGTTAGTCTTTGCTTACTTGGACCAGTGTTCAGTGTTTGTGTAGGAAGAGGTAAATGTCCGAGCACAGAAAATCACCTTCACTACCTTTGATGTCTGTCTAAATATGATCTTACCTGTGTAGCAGAAGGCATCGTAGCGGGACTCAGAGCGTGGGTATCCTGTCTGGTTGTTGTGGAGGTAAACAGTCCTCACCCCCAGTAGACCCCCTCCACACTGTGGCCGGCGAACATTGATGGGGTATCTGACGCTCCGGTCTCCCAGCCAACCAGCGTTACACACATCCATCCCTCCCTGCCAGGCCAGGTAGAGCTGACCCGTATTGGCCAGCTGAGCTCCTTGAGCCAAGCATGCCACTGCCGCCTCAGAGAAGGTGAACTTTTCAGCAGAAGCAGTGTGGAACACTCTGCCTGTACCAGAACCGAGAGGATGAGAAAAATGATGAATCAATGAGCTTCAGATACTGAATGTGTTTAGTGTCATATACCTGAAGAAGAAGATAGGCCCGCACACTTGCTCACATGCCACAAAAAAGGTTTTTATTAATCACAACGTTTCGGCCAGAGGTCTTCTTCAGGTGATAAAGATATCTTCTTCCTCAGTTTGCTGTTTTTGCTCTGTTCTTCACCTACGTGATGTGCATATAACTACCTCCCTTTTCTAGTGTCATACCTGTCATCTTCTGAGCGAAGCAGTAGACATCATAGGTCTCATTGAGGTCTCTGACTCCGTAGGTCCTCATACCGGGCACTTCTTCTTTGTCCCCATAGCAGTTCACCCGGGGATCATGGATTGGGTACCTTGAAATGAAAACAACCTTTGGTGTCTTTACAATGAGAAACTATTCAGTAGGTACTGAGTGATTTATGAAAGTTCTCTAATCACAAACTGATAGCTAACATTGCTGCTGTACAGACTCTTTTACAAACACCAGGTATCTGAGCTCCTTTTCACCATATCAATATTTGTCTCCTGGCTGTCGTGTTGTCTTTGTCTCCCTGCTGACTGATCCTCAGATCGGGATCCTTCGCAAATAATACTTTTTGAACAAACACACTCTGACAAATGTGTCTTTAAATCTTTATCTTTTTGGGCTGGATTGTAAAACTGTATTAAAACATATGAAAACGGAGTCATTCTTTCACAGACTTCAGCATGTTAGAGCTAAAAATATCTCATCAGACTTCCACTTTCTAATCAGAACATTTTTTCTCCCTGATGTTTTAACAATATGGATAAACAATATGTTACTCCGATAACTGACAGTAATATTTGTCTCTATGCAGATGATACTGCTCCACTGTACAACAAGATGTTGAGAACCTCAAACTTTCTTTCAACACTTTTAAGAATGTATTTATCAGCCTTGAACTTGAACACCAGCAGAACCAATTCAAGCTTATTTTTTCAAATGAATAAATCTAACACAGAGAGAAGGTCAGAAGATTGTAAATCTGCTAAATATACCTTCAAGGACTAATGGTGACACAATATGCAATTCCAAGTGTGCTGTGTTTGCAGGTACTTTTACACTGCATACTTTAAAAACTAGAAACTGTATTTTGCTTGGATCAAACTGCTTGCTGTCAGCCTCACGAATAATGACTGTGCAAACTTCCCTGCTCTGACACGCCGGCGGGCCATATTGCCATCAAGCACTCCCCGAGGACTGTGACGTCATAAGATATGTGCACAGGCCCCGTTCAGAGCGGGGCTGATAATTGAACAGGTGGTTTGTTGCCATTATCGTCAGACTTTTCTGGAGTCGTGCGTACATGAAACCGTGAGTTTTATGGTTTTCAGTTATGTAGGATATTACCTATAAGTTGTTTGCATTTGCAGGATTGTTTATTTATCTTAAAGTCGTTATTTGTTATTTGTTGACTGGTTCATCAGAAGGTAAATGCCGGTAATTAGTCTATACTTGAAACTTATGAAAGAGTTGTACTGAAGTCTGCTCACATTTGTAACAGTGATACAGACATATTGTGTGCATATTGTAGCAGTGTTACCGTGCTATACCGTTTAAAGTGTTAATTGCCCTTAATTGTGTGACTGAAGTGCCATATTTGATAACATGTGCTGTATTACAGCCCCTGCTGGACATTGTGCAGAAGTGTTTTAATCATGTGTAAATGCCTGGAATTTTCAGTTTTTTTTAAAGTTGTCTATTAATCTTTTGCTTATAAGGAGTAAGTCATTGATAATATATTTTGTTTCTTTGTTTGTGTTCTCTTTACAAAACCACGCTTATACAATCGCTCTTGTTCAATGACAATTGTACCCTCTTTGGACATCATTAAAGATTGTTGATGAAACTCCTGGATTGCTGCAGTCTTTCTAACCGAAGACTTAGGCCAGACTTGTATATGCCAGCATACTAATAATATCTTTCATTAACGCTCACTGGACTTTGAATACTGCACCTTTTGTACACTTTCTGTTTTTATATTTTTTATACTCTATTATATATTTGTAATTACTTCTTATATCTTATTTTGTTTAAGATTTTGCTATTTTTGCTTTATTTCCTTTGCTAACTGTTTTTGCACCAAAACACCAAGACAAAGTCCTTGTATGTGTAAATGTACTTGGCAATATAAAAACAATTCTGATTTTGATTCTGATTGAATTGTAATTGTAAAGAGTGTTTGTGTTATGTGTGTGTGTCCCCTGCACCAAACTGTGTTTAATTAGAGCTGCTGTGCATCAGTTGTCACACTGACCGGACTGTGTGGTCGGAGAGCCAGCCGGCGTCACATTGATGGAATCCATCATTGAACGTCGCCTGCAGCTGTTCAGGTGAAGCTATGACGGCGCTGTTCAGGCTGCACGCTGCCTCCGCCTTCTCAAAAGTCAGACTGTAGCGCCCCATGATGGCACGATAATGAAACACCAAACCTACAGACATAAAAACAGGCTTCAGTTTTCCTGGGAATGAGATAATTAAGCATTTTACCGACCACACACAGACAGCAGTCAGAGAGGATCTAAAAGGTCAAACATTTATGTCAGGCCCCGATTGGTGGCCACACCTACATTAAATTGGTACCAATACAGGGAAGATCAATTATGAGGCCTGTTATAACAAGGGCTGTCAAATGTTCAAAATGTTCAATAGATTAATTGCTAAATTTCAATAGTTAATGTTTGAAAATCCATTATTTTGCATTTAAAAATAAAAAGTGTTAGAATTAGCATGTGTCTGTGGTACGTTTTCATACCTTGAACCTGCACATGGACGATGTCATGGTTGTCCTCAATGCCGTGTTGGACCTCACAGCAGTAAAATCCAGAGTCACTGGACCGCAGCTCAGAGATCCTGATGGTGGCGTCTGTTGGGGTCCCCGGGTAGCCCACCAGGTGGACTCTGTCCAGGTAGCTCTCTGTGATACGCACTCGTCCCTCCAAGGCCACCAGGACGGTCGTGACCTTCTCTTTAGTGACCAGACTCCATTTGATGCGGTGAGAGAAGAGGGTGATGGGGGGGGCTCCGGGGTCAGGGACAGTGTGGTCCTACGTAGTAACAACATGACCTTTAACCTCCTGTTTGTATCCTGTGTTTACTCAGTATAACCACAACATCTGATTAAAGGTATTATAACTTAAACAGGTGTTCTTTACCCAATCAGAACCTCTCCAGCTGTTAACCAAGAAAAACTAATCAAGTCCATGGTCACAATGTTCGCAGTCATTAAAGCATTGAATTGGAAACTGATGACATCACTAAAGAGGCGATATCTGCTCGCATGTTCTGATCAGAATCAGCTTCATCTCGTCATGCTCACACTCACAGCCAGACGTCAGCAAACGTGCTCTCTATGTACAAACATTAAGTTTTAAAGAACGTCGCCTGTTTACCTGCTGCAGATACAAGAAAACATGAGGCTAAAAGATCATCTGTAAGGAGGCTAAAAGGCTCAACAGAGTCTAAGAGTTAAATGGAATTCAACCAGGTTAATATTTGACTGATGAACATTAAAACATTAATAGCTAACTTAAAATATCTACATGCTGCAGGTGATGTTCATTACTCCTCACCTCAATGTAACACGGCAGTACCAACGCTCCCCCCAGTAGGGGGCGCTGTGGCTCCTCCAGTGGGATGCTCACACTCAGCACATCCTCTGGGTCTGTCAAAGAGAAACAACATCATGGTTTTAATAATAATAATAAAGATCATAATATTGACTTGAATCTGTAGACTGTGTATGATGTCATATATATTATATCTATGACGATGACCACACTTCTATCATCCATCCACCAACCATCCATTCATCCATCATCTATCCATCCATCCATCATCACCCATCCATCATCCATCCATCCATCCATTCATCCATCCATCATCTATCTATCAATCCATCCATCCATCCATCCATCCATCCATCATCTATCATCCATCCATCATCCATCCATCCATTCATCCATCCATCATCTATCCATTCATCATCTATCATCCATCCATCCATCCATCCATCATCTATCATCCATCCATCATCTATCCATCCATCCATCCATCCATCCATCCATCCATCCATCATCTATCATCCATCCATCCATCCATTCATCCATCCATCAACTATCCATTCATCATCTATCATCCATCCATCCGTCATCTATCATCCATCCATCATCTATCATCCATCCATCATCTATCATCCATCCATCCATCCATCCGTCATCTATCATCCATCCATCATCTATCCATCCATCCATCCATCCATCCATCCATCCATCCATCATCTATTCATCCATCCATCCATCCACCCATCCATCCATCCATCATCTATCCATCCCTCCATCCATCATTCATCCTCCATCATCTATCCATTCATCATGCATTAGGGTTACGTACTGCTATGTACTACGGGTGAGCGTATTGCATCATTTCCTGTTCTGTTCTCCACTGTACTGTGTTGTTCAGTTCTGATTGTTCGAGCTAAAAGCTTAATTGTTAATTCTGCCTAGTTTCTTGCTAAACCTGCTAAACAGTTTTGTTTATTTTAGCTACCTACTCTTAGCCTAGCTTAGCAGTTAGCTTTATTTACAATGGCTTCTTTTTCTGCCTCTCCCTCTCCTGCTCTCTCCTGCTCTACGTGTCAGATGTTAAGTTACTCCTCGTCCTCCTTTAGTGATAATGACATTAGCTTTGGAGGCGAGGGTGTCTGAGTTAGAGAGATGGCTCCGCACCACTGAGTCAGAGCCATATGCAGCAGTAGTTAGTCAGCCACCTGTAGCCAGTGTGGGCCGACATAACTTGGCTTCCCCCCCGGTAGCTCCCGAGCAAGACACACCCGCTGAGAATAAAACTCTGATTATTGGAGACGACACACCCGCGACACACCCGCTGAGAATAAAACTCTGATTATTGGAGACTCCATAGTCCGAAACGTGAAGCTAGTGAAGTCAGCGGGCATAGTTAGGTGTATACCCGGGGCCAGAGCGGGCGACATCGCATCTCATTTAAAGTTGCTGACGAAGACTAAAGGTAGATTTGATACAATCGTAATTCATGTCGGCACTAATGACTCCCGACTACGCTTCATAGATAACTGGCAGTCTTTTTGGGGAAAACCTGGTCTGCTAGCTAGAGACGGCATCCATCCCACTTTGGACGGTGCAGCTCTATTATCTAGAAACATAGCAGAGGTTATTAGTCCAAAACCTTGACAACAACACAGAGTTCAGACCAGGAGGCAGAGCTGCAGTCTTACACGCTTCTCTGCGCCTCCCTTAGATCTGTCTCCCAGTCACTATAGCTGTAATTCTGAATCTAACTGTAATTATACTATAGGTACTGTGTCTGTCCCCTGGCCCAGACCCGTTTTTATAAGTCATCCAAACATAGAAAAAAAAGGCGTAAATTGTCAAAATCTCATTAGAATTAAAACTACGAATACGATTTTGCAATAAAATCAGAAAATTCACTGCAGACTTTTGAACATTAGGTCCTTGGCATCCAAATCTCTTTTAGTGAATGATCTGATATCAGATCAGCATATTGATTTACTTTGTTTAACTGAAACCTGGCTGTGTCGAGATGAATATGTTAGTTTAAATGAATCCACTCCTCCCAGTCATTTTAACACTCATATACCTCGAGACACTGGACGAGGTGGTGGAGTAGCAGCTATTTTTAATTCTAGTCTTCTAGTTAACCCTCGACCAAAGCTGAATTTTTCTTCTTTTGAAAGCCTTATTCTTAGTCTTTCACATCCAGTCTCAAGAACCTTTCAGCCAGTTCTAGTTGTTGTAGTTTACTGGCCGATGTTCTGAATTTCTATCTGAATTTGCAGAATTTTTATCAAATGTAGTCCTTAGCAATGATAGAATAATTGTCGTAGGTGACTTCAATATCCATGTGGCTGTTGATCTTACCAGGATTATCTCTGCTTAACAAAAATGTGCTCTCTAATAGTTTATCTGATAGTGCTGTAGCCAAATTTAAGGAAGCTATTTCAGCTGCTTTTGATTCAGTACCGTGTTTCGACCCAGTTGGAAACTCTTGTCATAGCTTTACACATCAGTTTGTTGATAGTGCAGTGGATTCACTGAGAGTTACTCTTGATTCGATTGCTCCCCTAAAACAGAAGGTTATCAAACTGCAGAGACTAGCTCCATGGTTCAACTCAGAAACCCGTACTCTAAAACAAACATCGCAAAATTTTGAAAGAATATGGCGCTCTACCAAAACGGTAGAATCTCATTTATTCTGGCAGGATAGTCATAATAAATATATGAAGAATCTACGTCATGCTCGAGCTGCCTACTACTCCTCTCTAATCGAGGAAAACAAAAGCAATCCTAGATACCTTTTCAGCACTGTAGCCAGGCTGACAAAGAGTCATAGCGCCATTGAGCCTTGTATTCCTTTAGCCCTCGGCAGTAATGATTTCCTGAGCTTTTTCAACAACAGAATTCTAGACATCAGAGACAAAATTGGTAACCTTCTGCCCTTACTTGGTGCAGATACCTCTGATCTGGCAGAAAGAGTTCTAGGACCTGATATTAAACTTGACTGTTTTTCTCCAATCGACCTTTCAGAACTAAATTCAATTATTTCTGCATCGAAACCGTCAACCTGTCTTTAGACCCAATCCCAACCAAGCTGTTTAAGGAAGTCTTTCCCTTAGTTAGCAACTCTATATTAGATATGATCAATATGTCTTTACTGGCAGGCTATGTACCACAGTCATTTAAAGTAGGGGTAATCAAACCTCTACTTAAAAAACCTACTCTAGATTCAGGAACTCTAGCTAACTATAGGCCTATATCCAACCTTCCTTTTATCTCAAAGATCCTGGAGAAAGTAGTAGCTAATCAGCTGTGTGACTTTCTCCATGACAACAGTTTATTTGAGGAGTTTCAGTCAGGATTTAGAGTCCACCATAGCACTGAGACTGCACTAGTTAAAGTTACAAATGATTTACTTCTAGCTTCAGACAGGGGGCTTCTCTCTGTGCTCGTCTTGTTGGATCTTAGTGCTGCTTTTGACACTATTGACCATCAAATCCTATTACACAGACTAGAACATTAACTTGGAATTACAGGGACTGCTTTAAGTTGGTTTGAATCCTACTTATCAGATCGATCTCAGTTTGTACATGTTAATGATAAGTCCTCTATGCACACCAAAGTTAGCCATGGAGTGCCACAAGGTTCAGTGCTTGGACCAATTCTCTTTACATTATATATGCTTCCTCTGGGAAATATTATGAGGAAACACTCCATACAGTTTCATTGTTATGCAGATGATACTCAGCTTTATGTATCAATGAAGCCCGATGGCACCAGTCAGTTATGTAAGCTAGAAACGAGCCTTAAGGACGTTAGGACCTGGATGACTATACATTTTTTGCTACTTATCTCAGACAAGACTGAAGTTATTGTGCTAGGCCCTAAAAACCTCAGAGAGACTTTTTCTAGTGATATGACTGTTCTTAATGACATCAGCCTGGCATCTAGAACCACTGTTAGGAATCAGGCAAATTTCAAGAACAGCCTATTTTCACCTTCGTAATATATCTAAGATCACTCATATTCTGTCACAAAAGGATGCAGAAAAACTAGTTCAGGCATTTGTTACCTCCAGGTTGGATTATTGTAATTCTCTTTTGTCAGGGTGCTCTGGTAAGTCTCTAAAGACTCTTCAACTAGTCCAGAACACTGCAGCTGACTAGAACTAGGAAAAGGGACCACCCTACTCCTGTGTTGGCTTCTCTGCACTGGCTCCCTATAAAATCTAGAATAGAATTCAAGATCCTTCTTCTCACTTACAAAGCTCTAAATGGCCAGGCACCATCTTATCTTAAGGAGCTACTAGTGCCGTACTACCCTTCGGGAACATTACGGTCCCAGAATGCAGGCCTGCTAGTGGTACCTACAGTCTCTAAATGTACTATGAGAGGTAAAGCCTTCAGTTATCAGGCTCCTCTCCTCTGGAATCATCTTCCAGCCGGGGTCCGGGAGGCAGACAAAGTCTGTATTTTTAAGAATAGACTTGATAAAGCTTATAGTTAGGGCTGGTGGTGGTGTAGACCAGCTCCTAGTTATGCTGCTACAGGCTTAGACTACCGGGGGAACTGGCACCTTGAGCTCCTCTCTCTCTCTCTCTCTCTCTCTCTCTCTCTCTCTCTCTCTCTCTCTCTCTTTCTCTGTGCATATACAGTATATCATATAACTGCATGTATCTATCTGTCACTAACCACCTACTTTCCTGGGAGCTCTTGGGCTCTTTTAGGCTCCTCGAGATCGTTGGTTGACGGCCTGCCAGAACAACCCTGATCTATCAATCAATCCATCCATCCATCCATCATCTATCTATCCGTTCATCCCTCCATCATTTATCCATCCATCCACCCATCCATCATCTATCTATCCGTCCATCCCTCCATCATTTATCCATCCATCCACCCATCCATCCATCCATCCATCTATCCATCCATCCATTATCTATCTATCATCCATCATCTATCCATCCATCCATCCATCATCTATCTATCCATCCATTATCTATCCAACAATCATCTATCCATCCATCCATCCATCCATCATCTATCCATCCATCATTTATCCATCCATCCATCAGCTATCCATCCATCAGCTATCTTTAAGAAAAAGATAAGAACGAGTCCATCAAAAATCACATTTGCAATCGTACATGTGTTTGTGCAGTCCGGCAGTACATGTGTTTGTGCAGTCACTCCCAATGTTGTTAATGTAATTGTGCTATCTAGACAGAGGGGAGGAGTTTGCCTGCAATAGTAGTTTATAACAATAAATAACCCAATATCAGATTTTCAAGGACCTCTATTTTAGTACCATGGTATCAAACAGGATGATGGTGACGTGGTATTGTTTCATCTGTACTAAAACCATATCAAAGTTTGAATTCTGGTATCGCTGGTCTAACCCCAAATATGACATGATGCTTTTGGCCATACAAGGTGTGGAACACATCATAAAACTTCAGAGATGAACTTCATTAAAAACTTTCTCACCCATGAAGGAGTGCTCGTCGTACATGTAGTCCAACGAGGCTGAGAAGACGTGTAGACACGCAGACAGAAACACAATCCACCTCAGCATGTTCAACCTGAAATCCAAGAGAAGAGTGAGTGAGATATCAGTTATTAGGATTTACCTGAGCGGTACATAGTCACACCTTACCGACTGAATTATAGATATACAGGTGTGTCTCCCCACTACATCTCATTAAACATGGGGGCCATCATGAATGCAAAAATGTTCAACCTGCTTTGTTCAGAGTCTTTAAATTAATTCTACCTGCAAGAACATAAGGCCTTTACCTGAGACTTTACCTGGGAATTTACCTGAGACTTTACCTGAGACTTTACCTGAGACTTCCCTTCTTACCTGAGACTTTACCTGAGACTCCCCTTCTTACCTGAGACTTTAACTGAGACTTCCCTTCCTACCTGAGACTTTACCTGAGACTTTACCCGAGACTCCCCTTCTTACCTGAGACTTTACCTGAGACTTTACCTGAGACTTCCTTTCTTACCTGAGACTTTACCTGAGACTTCCTTTCTTACCTGAGACTTTACCTGAGACTTTCCTTCTTACCTGAGACTTAAACTGAGACTTTCCTTCTTACCTGAGACTTTACCTGAGACTTTCCTTCTTACCTGAGACTTTACCTGAGACTTCCCTTCTTACCTGAGACTTGACCTGAGATTTTCCTTCTTACCTGAGACTTTACCTGAGACTTTCCTTCTAACGTGAGACTTTACCTGAGACTTACAGACCTTTCAATCACAGGTAGCCCCGGCCCTAACCCCTCTACCTCTTCCTGGTCTCTTTGACTCTAATTGGACAATAGTTGACTAAATTAACATCAGGCTATGTTGAAGAAGACTTGATACTAGAGATTGAGACCATAAAGTCGTTTGCAAAATGTTTCCTGAGTAAATAAATCCAGAAACTTCTATAAGATCAGACGGCAGTCGCCACCTGCTGGTCATTATAGAGAATGCAGGTTTAAAACACCTGTGAAATAAAGGACCACACACACTTCTTCACACACGCACACAAACACACACACACACACACACACACACACACGACCTCACAACCACACGTTTCTTTAAACAGCTTGCTTTCCTCCCTCTCCAACAACAGTTCTTTCAAAGTAAATGTTTTCTGTTTTTCCATCTGAGTAACACTTCCTGCCCCCCCCCCTCCTTACGGACACACACTGAAACACACACTGCTAAAGGGAGTCTCTTTCTCTCTCTCTGTCATCAGCAGCCTGGCCGTGTGAGCGAGCCGTAGTTCTCTCCACACTGAGCTCATTGAGCCGCCGTAGAGTCCCCTCCCTCAGAGACCGGGACCATGAGAGCAGACCTGTTCCCCCTGAACTACACATTGTTTGACTTGACCAGAACACATAGACGAAAAGATTCGTTATGATTTGTTACCAGTGAAATCTCTTCATGATGAACTTCGATTTATCTTGACAGCAGCTGAGGAGATTCAGCGCACACTGGCGGCTGAATGACTTCATCTTTATATTCAGATATAAACATGATGAGATACAAGGTTTCATCTCTCAGATATATAAACATGATGAGATACGAGGTTTAATCTCTCAGATATATGAACATGATGATCAGAAAAGGGGTTTCATCTCTCAGATATAAACACAATGAGATACGAGGTTTCATCTCTCACAGATATAAACATGTTGAGATACGAGGTTTCATCTCTCAGATATATAAATGTGATGAGATACGAGGTTTCATCTCTCAAATATATAAACATGATGAGATACGAGGTTTCATCTCTCATATATAAAAATTGAGATACGAGGTTTCATCTCTCAAATATATAAACGTGATGAGATACAATGTTTCATCTCAGATATATAAACATGATGAGATATGAGGTTTCATCTCTCATATATAAACATGATGAGATACAAGGTTTCATCGCTCAGATATATAAACATGATGAGATACGAGGTTTCATCTCTCATAAACATGATGAGATACAAGGTTTCATCTCTCATATATAAACATGATGAGATACGAGGGTCCATCAGAAGAGCATCGTCACATTTCATCTTCAGAGGGAAATAAAAAGATGTCCAACCTTTTGGAGTTACTCATGCCCTCCTCTAGAATCGTCTTCCTTGGTGTAGTTTCTGTCAGCTGAGCTCCAGGTGGAGAAGTTTAAAGTCCTGGTGAGCAGCAGAAAGTTCAGGATGTGAGAGAGGAGGAGGCGACGGGGACCAGTAGGTCTGCCTCTAGGTCCGGCCTCTCTGAGGACTCTTTGAAAATAAAAGGCACACTGATCCCGCTGCTCCAGACGTGTTTCTGAGGCGGAGCTGCTCCTATCAGACAATTTATACCTGCAGGAAGAGGAGGGGGAGGAGGAAGAGGAGGAGGAGGAGGAAGCGGAGGAGGAAGAGGAAGTGGAGGAAGAGGAGGAGGAGGAGGTAGAGGAAGTGGAGGAAGAGGAGGAGGAGGAGGAGGAGGAGGAGGAGGAGGAAGAGGAAGTGGAGGAAGAGGAAGAGGAGGAAGAGGAGGAGGAGGAGGAAGAGGAGGAAGAGGAGGAAGAGGAAGTGGAGGAAGAGGAAGAGGAGGAGGAGGAGGAGGGAGAGGAAGAGGAAGATTGCAAGAAGAAGGAGGTGGAAGTGAAGGTGAAGGTGGAGGAAAGGAGAATGACTTCCGTGAACAGGGTGTAGCTCTTTCAGTAAACTCAAACTCAGAGACGTTCTTTGGTTTAATAATTTACTCTGAGTTACAGCTGACTCACTGACAGGGGTGTAGACAGGGAGGAGGCGTAGACAGGGGGGCCTACCTGGGGCGCCAATGGAGGGAGGGGCCCCTACATTAGAGAGATGCACATCTCTCTCAGTCAGGAATATAAAGAGAGAATTGGACGAATGATTCAGTCAAAATCCAGAAAGAATCATCACCAAAGGAAGGAGGAAAGGACCCTGAAAGCATAATTCCTCGTTCCATCTCTCCTCTGCTTCGTTTCCTCACGTCTCTCGGTGCATCTCTGGTGGGAGAAGCTAAGACACAAGGAAAGGATGCAAGTGAAGGAAACGTGGAGGCAATTTAAGAGACATGAGAAGCTCCCTCTCCTGTTCACAAAGATCTGCTCCTCTCTCCTGTATCTCCTCTCTCCTCTCTCCTCCCTCCACTCTCCTCTCTCCTCCCTCCTCTCTCCTGTGTCTCCTCTTTCCTCTCTCCTGTATCTCCTCTCTCCTCTCTCCTGTATTTCCTTTCTCCTCTCCTCTCTCCTGTATCTCCTCTCTCCTGTATCTCCTCTCCTCTCTCCTCCCTCCTCTCTCCTGTATCTCCTCTCTCCTGTATCTCCTGTCCTCTCTCCTCTCTTCTCTCTCCTCTCTCCTGTATCTCCTCTCTCCTGTATCTCCTCTCTCCTCTCCTCTCTCCTGTATCTCCTCTCTCCTCTCTCATGTATATCCTCTCTCCTGTATCTCCTCTCTCCTCTCTCCTGTATCCCCTCTCTCCTCTCCTCTCTCCTGTATCTCCTCTCTCCTCTCTCCTGTATCCCCTCTCCTGTATCTCCTCTATCCTCTCTCCTGTATCTCCTGTATCTCCTCTCTCTCCCTCTCCCTCTCTCTCTCTCTTTCTCTCTCTCTCTCTCCTCTCCTCTCCTCTCCCCTCCTCTCCTCTCCTCTCCTCTCCTGTTTCCGTTTCCGTTTCCGGTTTCCGGTTTCCGGTGAGTGTGAGTGTGAGTGTGAGTGTGAGTGTGAGTGTGAGTGACGGTGGTGGTGTTGCGAGTGGCGCGGAGATTGAATTGTTTGCTATCCTTTCTACTGTTTTCAAAGTGCACGATCAGGTCAGATTGTTTTCATATTTGTATTGAGTGTTGTTGGCTGTGTAAGACAGATCGTTGGAGGGGTTGGAGGGAGGAATGGCGTCTGCTGAGACGCCACCTCCGACTCTCCGACAGGGAGTTCGGATAGTCCCTCCGAACGGTACTGTCACCGTGGAGGAGGTTCTGTTAGCTGCAGGTGAACAGGTAGGCCATGATAAACTCTTGTATGCATCCCGAATGAACAAGGCTGTGGTTGTTTTTCTGAAGAGTGAGCCTCTTGTGTATCAGCTGATTGAGAGTGGTGTGTTCATTAGGGATTTGTTTGTGCAGGTTTCCCCGTTGTCGGTTCCCTCTACGCGGATCACCGTATCCGGTGTTCCGCCGTTTATTTCTAACAACTTGTTAGAGAACGAACTCCGCAGGTTTGGGAAGTTTGCGAGTGGTTTCAAAACTGTGAGTCTAGGGTGTAAAGATCCCAAACTGAAACATGTCCAATCTTTGCGGCGTCAGGTGTTCATGTTTTTGGATTCGCCCACACAGACTCTGGAGGTTTCCTTTAGAGTGAAACACGGTGACGCTTCTTATATGGTGTATGCGAGCTCGGGACAACTGAAGTGTTTTGAGTGTGGTGATGTGGGACACAAACGTTTTGCGTGTCCGCACAGACAGCAGGAGGCGGCTAGTGCTGCCGCTGACGCGGGCAGCTCTGTTAGTGTGGCGCATGTGGCGGGGGCCGCGTCCGCGTCCGCGCTTGGGGCGGAGGCCGCGTCCGCGCCCGTGCCTGGGGCGGAGGCCGCGTCCGCGTCCGCGTCCGTGCCTGGGACGGGGGCCGCGTCCGTGCCCGTGCCTGGGGCGGAGGCCGCGTCCGCGCTTGGGACGGGGGCCGCGTCCGTGCCCGTGCCTGGGGCGGAGGCCGCGTCCGCGTCCGTGCCTGCGGCAGAGGCCGCGTCCGCGCCTGCGCCTTGTGCTGAGGCCGTGGCTGAGGTAGAGGTGGCTTCGACCAGCTCTCAGGCTACAGAAAAATCACAGACTGTAGATAATGATAAAACTGAAGATTCCACAAGTTCTGCAGTTGTAGATGTTTCATTGAAGGAAGGTAAGACAGTGTGTTGTAGCCAGGCATCATGTGAAGGAGAGGACATGGATGAAGATTATGAGTCAGACAATGCATCCATTGCTGATTTGCCAAATAGTGGCTCTGGTCTTTATTCTTTAGAGTCAATCAATCAATTTATGGATGAAACGTACAACAAATCAGTAAAAATCAGTGACTACTTTAGTGATACTGAAAAGTTCATAAAGTCAGTCAGCATACTGAAAAGACAGGTTGGGTTTGACCTCC